CGTATGGTGTATTGTGATGGGTTGGTTTCCTCTCTTTTCCACGGACAGTGTTGTATTTCTGTTCATAAGGAAACTCCAAACAACTTGCACACCTCTACTCCGGAGCTGAGATTTCTTTTACATAAATGACCTCGCTTCAAATATGTTACCTTACTGATAGGATCTTTTCTTGTAGCACTATACCTTGTGGGAATTTTTTTTTTCCTTTAATGTACACCTAATTTGAGAAGCTGAAGAAAAATAAAAATTTAAGCACTCACTTTGAGGAGTACAGGTAATGTTTTTAATAAAATTGCACAAAAGAAAAATGAATGTCGAGATGATTCATTCAGTGTTTGAAAGATGTGATCTGTTGAAACAGTGAGTTTCATACTTGTTTGTAAAAACGGAGAAGAAAAAGCGGAGAAAGGTTGAAAGTTACATGTTTGGACTTTTTTTTTTTGTATATAGAAATTTGTCATGTCTAAATGATCAGATTTGTATGGTTGTGGCCTGAAAGAATTACTACGTCATAGGCTCTTAAACGACACCTATGCTTCCTGTGATGTGTTTGTTACATAGCCCTCGGCCGAGGGAGAGAAACTCTGCATACCGCTATTTGAGAATACTGTTCATTCCTGGCTGAAAGTACTTCTCAGAGCACCCTTTTTAGTCTAAACTCTTTTAAGCCACTTGCAACTACTTTCTCTTCAGAGATGATGTTTTTGACATGTTCAGCACTTCCTGTTCCTATAAACCCAAAGAATATATTCCTGAACATGAAGTGTTTCTAAAAGGGATCCTAGCTACCAATAAAACAGGACTCATTCTGAGGACAAAAAAAAAAATATATAATATATATATATTATAAAGGTTAGCCTTCTTGCCCCTTACACACACACACACACATACACACACACTTAAATGGAGGGTAAAATATGAATTTTAATATTTATGCCTCATTTTACTGTTAGTTTCATTTTGATTTTTCTTTAATAGAGGCCAAAAACAAATGTAGAGGGATTTCTCAGAATTCATGTTTCTGTCCCCAAATCAGGCTAGACAGCTGTGGGGATATTAAATGTACCCAGCTGTAGTTCTTAAATTTCAGAATCCCAGCCCGTCCCTGATAATTCAGTGCAACTGTATGCACAGCTGACATTCACATGTACAGGGTGGGAGGGACCCACAGCTTCCCTTTCTCATGTCCCCACGGCTTGCATTACAAACGGTTCAGCTGTATTAAAAATTAAGTGCATTTGGCCAATAGGTGGTATCTCTACAGTAACAGTCTCTAAGAATTCCCATAACTTTTCTTACCTGAAAGGACTCCAGTCTTCCACTGCAGATAAATTGGAGACTTCACCAACCCACATTTTCTTTCTCTTTAGTTTGTCTGTCTGTGTGCTGTTTGGATGGTCGGTGACCTGTCTCCTTAACCGTGGCCAATCTGAAGGCCTGCGTGGGAAGAGTTGTTTACAGTAATTCTTAGCAAGATGACAAACATAGTGTCCTCCAGAACACCAGGTCCAGGTGACACTGGCTTAGAGCTGTTGTCTTTAAAGATCCCTGAGAGGGTGGGTGCATAGATGTTTTCTCTGGTTCTCACACAAACCCCCTACTCTCTAAGTTATTCTCTGGCTCAGGAGTGGGGTAAATTATTGAGTCAGTGAATCTTAAACTTGATACCTGTGCATCCAGGTGTGTGAATATTGCTCTTGTGGCCAGGATTCTTCCTCCCACTCTGCACTGCTCAACTGTAAACCCAATTAGTGTCAACAGAAAGGTTTTCATAGAGTCCTGTGTTTGCGGTGGCCTTTGGATAAGACAGAGTCCTCATTTCTAGCCAGTGGGGTGCTGACCCCAGAGCCATCTCTGAGATTAGTACCATTGGATGTTTAAACATTGAATTCGTACCCACCAAACTTCCAATTGTATGCCTCCCACAGGCCAAGGGAAAATAGACACCAAAACTTGGGTCGAGGGCATGACCAGAAAGAGCCAGCCAGTATGGAGAAGAACTAGGGAAGGAATGATGTTTTGCACCTTACTGAAAAGAAAATTTTAAGTGCATACATAGTTAAGAGCTTTTATTGTGACAGGAGAACTTTTTCCATATGCGTGCATACTCTCTGTAATTCCAGTGTAAAATATTGTACTTGCACTAGCTTTTTTAAAACAAATATTAAAAAAAATGGAAGAATTCATATTCTATTTTCTAATCGTGGTGTGTCTATTTGTAGGATACACTCGAGTCTGTTTATTGAATTTTATGGTCCCTTTCTTTGATGGTGCTTGCAGGTTTTCTAGGTAGAAATTATTTCATTATTATAATAAAACAATGTTTGATTCAAAATTTGAACAAAATTGTTTTAAATAAATTGTCTGTATACCAGTACAAGTTTATTGTTTCAGTATACTCGTACTAATAAAATAACAGTGCCAATTGCAAATGAGTCTTTGCCTTCTGTGGGTAGTTCTTCCTTCTGCCACCAAGTGTCCCATGACTTCCCCCCCCCCGCGGCGGAGTTGGGGAGGTGTTGCTGAGTAGCCTGAGACTTGGTTTCCCTACTCATTTTGGGGAAGGAGGCCCTTGAGATGAGGTTCTGAGATAAGAGGTTGGCATCCACTCATGATGTCCTGGTTGGTTCAGATCCTGCTTGTGTCTGAATCCTGTTGTTCACAGGTTTTGTTGGTAAACATCTGGCAGCTTCCTGGGCTCGCGTGGCATAATCAATATGTTCTCTGCGGTTTTGCTGTAGCCCAGTTAGTGGTCTAAAGGTGGAAAGATCATCTGTGTTTCCTGCAGCTCCACAATGATTGTTGAGGAGCCCAGTGGGGAGGGGTCTCTGGGTACGAGGAGCTGCCCCGTGTCTGTCTCAAGTTTGCACGGGGTTGTCTGGGGAGGATGTGGCCTAAAGTCGTTTCTCAAGGACCTGAGACTTTCAGGGGGGGGGGGGGGATTGGGGAGGGGTCCTCACCCTACCTGTGGACACAGCTATGACAGGTGTCCAGCCTTGTGGTTCCATGTTGCAGAAGAGAACTTGAGAGAAACCCAGGAGTCCTGGTGTGGTCCGGGAGGAATGGGACCCTCCTTCCTCTGTCACCTCTGCTGGGTTTGCTGGGGGGCATCAGCTATCCTCTTAGGACTTGAGTCGAGGGCCTGACACTGTCATAGTGGGAAAGAACTGGCATGGAGCGAGCGGTGATGGGGGAGCCGGAGGCCAGGCCGGGTGGCCCTTCAGTGGGGCCGCTGTCCGGGCAGCTGGAGCTGGCTGACCGCTACCTTGCCTGCTTCACTTTTCTTTGCTGCTAAGGGTCCTCAGAGGTCTGGAGTCCGATGGCTGTGATATCCCCAGGGGTTCAAAGCACAGCTTCAAGGGCTGCCGTGGGTCAGGCCCTGAAACCATTTGAATCATGGTCCAGCCCAAGGTGAGTGCCAGGCTCACAGGCTGTGCCCCAGGTGGCCACAGTACTGCACACTATGCCTCCATCCACATCCTAACGGATGCCTGGTCTCTGGGGCGCTCAGGTGGCGGGGCTCCTCCAGGAACAGAGATGAATTTGCTAAGGGGGATGGGATGCCAGTTCTTTTTATGGTGCCTCCTTCAATATGACCCTTTGCAATGACTGTCTTTACTTCCCTAGAAGCTGGATTGCAAGCCCCTGCCTTTGGTTGTGAGGATGAAGAACACGTCTTTCCACAGGATGGTAAAGCAGCGTGGATCGGGGCCATCCCGCTCCAGGGAACCAGTGTACTCTGAGAGCCGAACTCGAGAAAGGAGACACTGGGTCACAATAGCAGGAGTTTGGAGAGGGTCACAGTCCTAGAGGAAGTCCCTGTACTATGGCAGGAACTTTTAGTGGATTTGGATTTCCTTTTCTTCACTTCTCTCCCTTATCTTGCAAGAGTCTCATTAAAACAAAGTTCCGGACTTGAGTGTGAAATGCTCCTCCCACAGGGACAGCCGGAGGCTGACACTTCACCCAGACAGGCGGGAAGGGGGAGTGGGGGGCCATCGAGCCCCACCTTTTGCTCAACAGGAAACATCCTCTTGACCCTCAAACATTCTCCAAAACTGAGCCCCTCGTGTTTCCACAGGTAAAGAGCAGCTCTGTGGACTTCAGGGTGGGGAGAGGGTAAGTTACTCTGGTTTTGGAAACGTGCCTTGAAAAACAAACGGGGCCTCTATTCTCCCAGTGTGACAGTGTGGCTGGCCTTGGACGCTTGATGGGCTCATCCTTATTCAGCAGCACAGAGTGCGCCTCTACTCCAGGGACCTCAGGGAGGTGGTTGCCTTTTCAAAGAAACTCTGCTCCTGCCTCATTAACACAAGCAAGTGTCACATCCTGGAGTGTATAAACTGCCGATCCTCAGGAGCCCCTGGGCCCTTCTGTCCAGACAAGACCACTGTCACCAGCCAGCCAAACCCTCTATGGCAGAACCACGTGGTCCTTCCTCCCTGGGTATTAATTGCTACGGCAAGGGAAGGGCTCAGTCTCTCATCTTAGAACAATGCCTTTGAGGATGCTACTGAGCCAGTTGCTCTTCCAACAGGACTCCACCCGCTCATCTCTTTGAAGCTGGACCAGATGTTAAAGGTTATGTGCAGAGTAATTTATAACCTCTTTGAGAAGGTCCAGCCTGACAAGTTGGGACTGAGATGGGGAGGAAAAAGGATGGAGAAAAGGAAGAAGAAACCTCTGTTCAGGCCAGCTGCCAGGCAGCAGCTCCAACAGGTAGCCAGAGATGCCCCTTGGAAGGCCAGTATGAAGGAGGTGTCGAGACACCGCCAAGCCCGTGAGCCCCGGCAGGGGACCAGACCTCACGTTCTTCTCCAGCAGCCAAGAGCTGGAGAGTGGGGTACTGGTTACTCTGACTCCAGCTCTGCTCTGCCCAGCCCTCCCAAGGTACCTGGTATGGGCATAGCCAAGCGTGCCACTCACTAGGCTGGGTAGGCAGCCCCCAAATCTCCAAGGACCCCCGTGTGGCTCCTGCAAATGCAAACCCCAGCACTCAATCAAGTCTCAACAGCATTGTATTAAAATGATTTTTTTTTTCCAAAAAAGGTGCAAGTTATTGGATTGAACAATAAGGCTGTGCACCCTGGGCAGCTGGGATCTGACTGCTGGCCCAGCGGTGCCCTGCTTCTGGGCCCCAAGGCATGAGGGAGAGCCCCAAAGCCTCCAGGCAGGAGGGGGAGGAAGGACGCAGCACACCACCATTCGGAGCAGCCAGAAGCCGGGAGAGGTGGGAGAAGCAGGTGGCACGGGGGCTTCCTTTCCAGTGGGATGTCACTCCATCTCTGCATTAACCGAACACGGTGTTGTGCTGTTGGGTCACCCGGATGAACGTCGCTCTCCTGCTGAGCTCTTTGAGTTTGGCGGCCCCCACGTAGGTGCAGGTCGACCTCAGTCCCCCAAGAATATCCAGAATAGTGTTTTCCACACCCCCTTTGTAAGGCACTTCCACCGTCTTGCCTTCAGAGGCTCTGGAAGAGAAAGGAGACGTTTCTTTTTCCTGGAGAGCCCATGCAGAACTGTTCCCAGCTGCAGCACTTTCAGCAGCCCTCCCCGCCCCCCACTGCATCACTGCCAAGCAGACCAGGACGGCACTGCCAGGGGGATGCAGCCCTCCCCCGCAAGGGCACCAGGAAGAAGTCTTGGTTGACATCACTTGGCACTGCAGACTCCCCGGTTCCACTTGGCGATGTTCTCAGCAGCCTGCACTCTGCCCCACAGAAACCAACACCACCTCTCCATATGCACCAGCTTCCAAATGACCAAGTGCCCACATGCCCACGGGGGAAAGACCTGGCGGGTTACCTCTTGGAACAGCCTCCTGCACCAACCCAGGGCTTTGCTCTACCAAGCACCAACTCTATGGTTGGACAGCCAGGAAGAGGAGATGGAGACGGACAAGGCAGGCCCTCCTAGGTCACATGGAAAGCCCCACCCATGCCAGAGCCCAGCCTGACAGCCCGTCTCCAGGGCAGCCAGCCACCAGCTCAGCTCCCTGTGCTCTTACAAGTCAGCACACCTACTGCCAGGGCACAGCGGGTCCCAGCTAAGAACCAGCCTAGTGAGGTGGCTTCAGAGCTTTGGCCCCCACAGCTGACGTTTTCAGAGGAGTATTCAGAAGCAAGTCTGGCAAGTGGCACCAGCAGTGAGCAACACCTAACTGTCCCAGAACCCTTGTCCCTGCCTTCCTGAGGTCACCACCTAACTCAGCTTGATTTCACAAGTCAGAATGGTGACAACAGTCCACCACCCTTGCAGGGGCATCTTGAGAAGGAAGTCTCACTCCTTCTCTGGCCCTCCTCTGAGGCCAGGCAGATTCTAACCTGCATTCTAGAACTTTCCATGGTGGTTATTATGGAAGAAATATTCTCCCTGGAGAAACAGCATGTCTTGATCAGAAACTTGTTATGCAGAATTTCCAAAGGATATTTGATTATTGGCCGAACGTGCCAGACTCTCCTGGGGTGACCCCAGCTACCGAAACCATGGGCTGGATGAAGGGCGGGCCTAGGGACTGGCCTAGGTCACCAAACCAGGAAACCAGAGTCACCCATGCCACAGCTCCAGTCTGATAGCCCACGTGATCTAGGAGGGTGGTTCAGGTCTCAGCAATCCCGTCCCTGCAGTGATTGCCCCTGTCTTCAGACACTTCCCGGACCTTTCAGAATTGGCTGGAAATTATTCAGATTCTCGTTCCTGCCTCTATACTAACTGGTAATGTCACATTTTACAAGTCATTCATGGTTGATGCTGGGGTCTGCTCATCTATAAAATGAAGGTGCCCTGCCTCCTGGGGACAGTGTGAGGATGGGATGGTTAATAACTGGGAAAGAACAGCAAAGCGTCCATTAACAGCAGTGCTATAATCAAATACGACATCAAAGTCAGAATCACTCCGTGACAAGATTGTGGTCCCCAGACTGCAAAGGGACGGAGGCAGTTTCAACTACAGAACTCAGGCTTCCTGTGGGGTAAGATTTAATTCCTTCAGCACCTTCTTTCTTGTCAAAGATTTCACTCTTCTTCCTGGTGTTTCTGTGATGTGTGCTCCCTGCTGAAATTCCAAGCGGAGGTTTTTCTCCTGGCTCCTGGGCTTGCACATAGCCAATGCTAGCCTTCCCTATCCACGGCGTATGGCGTGTCTGGGGCCCCAAAACAGCTGCAACTGCTCAGCCACACGGCTGCACTTCATGTGGGCAAAGGGCAGACACCGCACAGGCCTAGGCTGGTGGCCACAGCTGCTGGTTGAGCAGTAAGCTTCTTGGCTGCAGGGCCAGGTTCACACTGAGACCCAACTGTGCCACCTCCTCCCCCAGCTCCCATGAGAAGCTAGGGGCCCCCGTTCCTCCTCTTGGCCCACCTGCCTTCCCCTACTAACAGAGTCCCCAGCCCCGTAAGAGGAAAATGCTTGGGAGGAGGAGATTGAAGTCAGTCCACCAGAACCCTACAAAGAACAGAACTCTGGTAGAACAGGCCCCAGAACCTGGAGGAGTTCCGCAGTTCCACCTCTAGCTGGGCGGAACCTTACAGGACGCATCTGAATCTCCTGCCCACCACATGGGCCGCAGGGAACGAAGCCTGGGCTTCCTGGAGAAAGGCCGTCCGCCTGTTTGCAGCTGATGCCTCCCCAGGCCTCGAGACCACTGGCCCGTCACTTGTCACTGGCTCTGGCTGGGTCAGGTGGGAGGGTGAGGCAGTCTATTGGGCAGTTGGGGTCTTAACGCACAGTTAAGAAGGAAGCGAGATGAAAGGCCAGGGGGCCTTGGGGGTCCTGGGTTTAAAAATATCAGCAGACAAGAGCAAGCTGGCTGCCTGGTGACACAGCCAAAGGGCCTGTGCCCGCCCAAGAGCTGCTGACTGTGGTGGCATTCTTCAGGTGCGGCCTGGCCCCCACCCATCTCCCCGGCAGCCAGAGATCTGCCAGCCCCATTCCTGCAGCCTCAACCGGTCTCGGCAGCGATGGCCGCGAGCAGCACAGTGAAGGCACTGTTGGAAAGCCAAGGCAGCCTCCCCTCCAGGCTGCTCCCTGCTCACCCTTGCCCCCCAAAATCCAGCCTGGCCTCAGGTGCTTCTGTTCTGCACTGCAAATGCCAGCTGGATAGGAGTTGGGGCTCTGTAAAAAAAAAAAAAATGCTAGAGGTGCCTTCTAGGCCCTGCCCAGAGTCCCCCCACACAGATCTGCTGGCCAGGAGGCGAGGCAGGAGGCCTGGCCAGAGGCGCCAGGGCTGGACCCACCTGTATTCGGCGACGCCCCCCGCGTGCTTCTTCATGGCCGTCTCGGAACTCATCCCGTAGAAGAGCTTGAGTTTCTGCCCGTTCCTCTCGATCACTTCCCCTGCACACTCGGTGTGGCCAGAGAACATCCCTCCCAGCATGACAAAATCTGCTCCAGCTCCTACACGCAGAGGTGGGGAAGAAGAGAGGGTGAACTCTGCAAAGAGCCGGCTGCCCCCTAGCACTGGCCACATGCTCACCAAGCGCTCTGCCACTGAGCTACGGCCCCAGCCCTGACTCTAGAAAGGTCCAAGTTCCTCCCCAGTGCACCTTCTCCCCACCTCCCCTGCTGCCCTGCGGGGGCACAGACACTGGGAGAAACAAACGGAGCCTGCAGAAGGTTTGTAGCCAATGTACTGGAACATGACTGATGGTTATTAATGACTGACACCTTCCAAACAGAGAAGGTGTTCTCTTAGATGCAAATAGACATCAAGAATCATGCACCATCTTAGAAAGCATGTCATCTAATCTCAATAAGGTAACTCCTCTACAATGACCCCAACAGGCACCTGGTGTCCTGAAGTTTTCTGTGCTTAGAGATGGGGAGCGGCCCTCAAAGCAGATTGTACCTCTCCACTGAAGACTGGGCATAGAGGAGAGAAACCCCCTGCATGAGTCCGTAAAACTCTACCTGTCCCTCTATTGGATGAGCATTAGCCTTCGAGTTGATAATATGCCACATGCGTCACCAAATGACATGAAATTTCCGGGGCAGCCACAGAGGAGACGGAGCTATTGAGGTTGGCTCTGTTTACCCCAGTGTGTGGCACAGGGGAGACACAAAATGACTAGCTATCAAGAAAATACAAGTTAGAATGAACCACATGGAAGATATAAAAATAGTTCCATTCCTCATCCTGTTCCTGGGTGACTATGCAAAGGACCCTTCATTAAATGTTCAGTGCCAGGGCTTGACAGTGTCCCCCGAAAGTTCATGTGTTGGCAACAAGCTCCAATTTCATCTGTTGAGGTATTCAGAGGTGGGACCTTTAGGGAGGGCATTAGGATTACATGAGGTCATGAGGGTGGGTCCCCTTTATGATATCTATGGCTTTACAAGAAGAGAGGCCTGAGCTAGCAGCTTACTTGCTCTCACCATGTGATGCCCCTTGCTATTACCAAGAAGGTGCTCCCTGTAAAGCAAGAAGCACATTCTTGGACATCCAGGCCTCCGGAACCATGAGCCAAATAAACTCCTATCCTTATAAACTACTCAGCCTTGGGTATTTTGTTACAGTAACAGGAAATGGACTAAAATATTAAACTGTACAACTTCTCCTGGGAGTAAGTCCTACTGAGGTTCGCATTGAGAACAGGACAAGACAACAGCAGGGTACAGATGTATTAAATAAGAAGAAGGAGCAAAACCCTCAGCAGGAGAAAAGAAAGAAAGCCTGAAAAGTGGCCCTGCCATCTTCCATCGAGTCATTTAAGAGGACCCTGGAGGGTGCATGGTTTCAGTCCCACTTGGCATTATTACAGAATGGCCTGCTCTCAGGGCTGGCCCTAGGCCTGGCACTCAGCCAGCAAGACACACATGGTCTACACAGCAGGTGGTTGTGCAGATCTCCCCAGGACCCCAACCCCAAGGCCGGCTCCCCAGTCCTGCCAGGATTTCAACAGGACAGAGGGTAACGGGTATGGCCAGACCTCGTGATGGCTTCACCCCAGGAGTCTACAGAAGGAACACAGCAGACCCACTTGAAGCCCTGCTCGAAGCAGGCCCCAGTTATTTTCTAAACCCTGATAGCTTTTCCCAGCGAGGCCCTGGAGTTCCACAGGCTACACAGTTTCTGCATAGGCAGCCACGCTCCTGGAAGGAAGGGGGAGGGAAAGACATGGGAAGGAACTGAGCAGAGGGCGAGGCGAAGGGCTGGGGCTGGTATCTACAAGGCACCTTTGTGACCAACAGTCACCTCGAGGTCTGTGCAGCTCGGGCTCTGCAGAGAGCACATGGCGGGCTGCAAAGGGAGCCCGAGATGGAACGCCCATCGGTACTAAGAATGTCCTTGGCTGGTGATCCTTACAGCAAGGCCCGAGGGCCATAGTCGGTGAAGGGCCCAGTCTGCCCTGCCCTGGTCATTCACCTCGGGGCCATATGCCGGCTGCTGGAGGAGGTCGGGGCTCTATATAGTCCTCCTGCAGCTGAGAGCTGTGATGAGAAAGGGACTAAGTTCTACTTTTGTGACATTCTTTGGGTTGCTACAAAATTGCTATGAAGACCACAAACCCTGCTTTGTTGTCACAAGCTAGTAGGGTTTTTGTTTAAAAAACAAAACAGAGCCAGGTGCCGTGGGGCACACCTGTAATCCCAGCTGCTTGGGAGGCGGAAGCAGGAGGACTGCAAGTTCAACCCAGCCTCAGCAACTTAGTGGGGCCCTGAACAACTCAGACTCCGTCTCTAAAAAAGGTTGGAGATGTGGCTCAGTGGTTAAACATACTGGGTTCAATCCCAGGTAGCCCAAAAAACAAATTCCTAAGACCTTTCCTGATTTACACACACACACACACACACACACACACACACACACACACACACATATATTTTGGGGGGGCTGTCATCAGAAAGGAGTGGCCGTGTGGGAGCCCTGCTTCTGCCTCCTGCTGGTACCCACAGCTCCCACTTGAGTTGGAGCCACCCCTCTGTGCAGTCAGCTCTGACTTCTGAATACATTTGGCACAGATTAAGTAGTCAGCATCAGCACAGGGCTCCGTGGCCCTGTTTCACTGCCTTTCAGGGTGCTCAACCTCTTAGAGCTTTCTCAGGAAAAACCCAGGACACAGCCAGAGCCCTGCAGCATCATCCCTTCAATTGCAATGGACACTGCTGCCCCCTAGCGGGGAGCAGACGCTTTGGCCTCCAGGGAGAAGGTGCACTTGGGACTGTCCCTTCCCAGGGAATTCAGGTGGAGTGAAGAGAGCACGCCTGGGGCTTGGAGTGTGGTCAGTGGTAGAGCGCGTGCCTGACGTGGGTTCCATCCTCAGCGCCACAGAAAAGAAAAAGAGCCCAGGTTCCCAGAGTATTCTCAATCAAGAGCCCAAGGTGTCACTCACTCCTGGCTTGCAGAACGTCACTGCAGATGCATTTCCTGAGCACCTGGCTTCCTCTGCCACAGACCAGAACCAGACCCGGGCCAGGACTTAGGCCAACTGGGAAAGGAACGCAGGGAGCGGAAACACTGGCAGGCACAGAACTTCCCCTCGGCCTCCTCATCCCAGTTCCCCCCTGCCGCACGGAGCACCTCCCTCCTCCCCACCAGGCCATCCTTACCAAAGGCTTTGGCGACGTCTCCTGGACAGGTGCAGCCTCCGTCCTTCACAGAGGAAAGAACAGGAGAGGACATGAGTATCAGTGGGAGCTGGCCCCTCCCCGGGATGATGAGGAGCTCACACCCCCGGGCTCAGCCAGGCACCTGGACCAACAACTCAAACTGTTGGTTTCTGGCCTAGCTGACTCCCCAAAAAATCACATCTCCCGTTCCCCCAGCTGCCAAATACCCATGCGCTCCCCCCCCCAGGCTCAGGTGCCCCTGGCTAGCCCTTTAGGTAGCACCCCAGCCACCCCTTCAGTCCATCAGGAGCCACTGTTCTCTCCGTGCCTGGTGTGAGGCGAGATTTACTTAGTTCAAGGACTGCATTATTTTAAGAGCTATGGAAAGAACATGGAGTTAGTTCCTTTATCTCAGCAGCCACCTCATGCCTCTCATGTCCTTCCGGTACCAATCCCAGTTACCTGAAAATTCAACATCCACTCTCCACACCCACTCTGCCCGAACAGAGCACAGGTGTGGGGCTGGTTAGTCCCAGAGGGACACGGTTACCTTGGGCTCTGGAGGTTGTCTCCAGCCCAACCACATGGTACAAAATCCCCAGCATGCAGCAGAGCTCGCTGTGTTTCCTTACAAACAAAGAAGACCCCAAAGGCCCAGGCTGCTGCCTGCTCCTCCCGGTGTGGCCTGGGTGAGTCTGGGGAGGAGAAGGGGGACAGCAGTACCCTGGAGCGGCAGCCAGCCAGGCAGGAGGGGAGAAACAGCACACCAGTGACACAGTCCAAAGTCAGGGTGGGCTAGGAGAAACACCGAGGCCCCTGAGGGGCCACCTGCTCCCAAGAACACAGAGCACAGGCCACTTGGTGCTGCCCTGGGTGATAATCTGCAGGAGTGTGGCACCAGGATCAATGAAGAACTGGGATGGACCACTTTGCAAGGAGCATCTGGATCTGAGGACACAGGCCTCGGGGACTCTGGCTCTGCTACGGCTTATTAGGCCTGCCACTCAGAGAGCTGGAGTGCGACTCCATGTGTCACTGCCCCACAGTCCTGACCTGATGGGAGGGAGGTGTGAGGGTGCCACCAACTCTTCCCTCAACTCTTTTCCCTGTGTAGCCTCCCTGACCCCAGAGGGCCACAGGGCACAGAGGCACCACCAGTTCAGAGGCAGTCTCTGCACTCAAGGTGTCCGGCCCCAGCCCTCCCTGGGAGGCAGGGGCTGTGGTTCCAGACACCTGTCACCGCTTCCAGGGCCACAGGTACAACCTTAACCTGCCTGCCATGCATCCGTCAGTTCACTTTCTAGAGCTTTCTCAAAACCAGCTCTGCACCACCGGGTTTCAAACCATAGCCTCAAATGAACAAAATAAACTCATGCTCCCATTAGAATAGGTCTCGGAAATTCTGACTCGGAAACAGGGTATCTCTTGGGGCTCCTGAAAACCCCCAGCTGTGGTCAGTGATGAGGCCTGATGCAGATGTCCTGCATTACTGGGAGCATAAAAACCAGCCCCTCTTCCCAGGATGAGCCAAGAAGACTACAGTCAACTCGGCTGCATACTGTGCCGCAGAGAGGAAACCGGTTATGGCGTCACCTGCCCCCATTATGTGTATGCATCTATAAGATGCCCCCAAATGAGCCAGTCTGCAGTTAATCACATGCAATCCATCTTGACATGAAGCCTTAAGACAAAGCAGTCTGTGCCCCTCTGCCAAGCAAAGCATCCTTTCATGTTCCCAGGGAATGGGGCAGCAGGGCACCCTCTGAAATCTAAGACACACATTTACCTTCACAGAGGTGCGACTGCTGGAGAGTTTTTAAAAAGGGGGAGCAAGCTGGGTGTGGTGGAGCATGTCTATAATCCTAGCAGCTGGGGAGGCTGAGGCAGGAAGATTGCAAATTCAAGACCAGACTCAGCAACTGAGCAAGGCTCTAAAGCAACTTAGTGAGACTCTGTCACAAAATATATTAAAAAAAAAAGGAAGGAAGGAAGGAAGGACGGGCTGGGGATGTGGCTCAGTGGTTCAGCACTTCTGGGTTCAATCCCCAGAAACTGAAGTCTGCATTTTCTAAGTGAGGGCAAATATGAGACTCAGAAAGACTGAGTGACTTTCCTAAGGCCACATAGCTATAAAAATGGAAACATAAGATTAGAACCAGCAGCTGTCTTATGACCGCATTTCTGATATTTTTTTTTGGGGGGGTGGGTGGGTTCTGATCCTTATTTTTTTAACGTTTATTTACATTTCTAGCTTTTCCTAAATTGAGCACGTTGGGGGGGACTTTTCAAGGCCTTAAAAAAGGATTTAATGACGTTGAGTAGGTCTTTCTAAATCACAGTGTGACAAGAAGAAATGAACTGTTCATTCCTGAATCTTTGCCTGCGTGGGCGTGTCTTGAATTTTCCCACACTCTGGCCCCTGAAGCCTACGCTGGCCATAGTAAATAGAAACCCAGCTCCAGCCCCACCTGTTGGCCCCCTCTGGTGGGGCTTCCTGGGAACTGCAACAGCACAGATGTGCTCATTCAGCAATGAATGTGCGAAAGGAGACAGCTGGAAGGACACTGGACACAGTGACAGGATCCAAACATCTGCTGGGTTCGCTGCAGGTTCCAGACTCTTGGCAAATGGGAGAAGCCATCCTGCGAGGCTGCGTGATAGCAGGCAGGTGGGAGCAGCAGCTGCTGTGAGCCTGGTTGTGTGCAGCTGGTGGCAACTGGGAGCCAGTGCCGGGTCCACTCCTGGTCTTCTGGCTACAAACTGCACTCCTAACCCCATCGAGGAACTCTCCCACCAATTCTGGAAAAATGAATACCTTGGAAGCACTCAGGTAGGCTCCTAAGGGTCACCTTCCCACTGCAGGAGGCCCGCAGGCCTGGGCCATCAGCGCCCCCTACTGACATCAGCACATGAAAGCTGGCCCTAGAATCCGGCCAGCAAGGCCAAGTTTCCCCTAAGTAAGCCAAACCTCAGGACACACCAGAATGACCCAGAGGGCTTGTTCACACAGATGCTTGGGCCTCACTGCCTGACTCAGTAGGTCAGGCCTAGAGGGGGACCCAAGAAATCTGACGAGCCGTTAGTTGATGCCAACGCTGCTGGTCTGGGCATCACACTCAGAACTGAAGCAAGTTACCCACTAGGTCATGCTGTGCAGAGAAGCTCAAGTGATTTCCACGGGAGTCGGCTGGGGTACCCACAGAGCCTGCAGGACTCCCCACCCCAACCTGCTCAAGCTGTCCTGTGAACTGAGCAAGCCTGAAGTTTCCGGAAAGACATTAATCGTGGTGTCTCAGAAGAAGCTCAGCGTCAGACTTCATCCACTGGACTTCCACTCTTGGAAATGGTGGTCATTCGAGGAATACATGACATGGGGCCCAGGTTCTGATTAAGACTCTTGAAGGTGAGCATGATTACATAATAGGGACTTGCAACTCACAACACATGAGGCTCTGGGGTCCAAGACTAAAGAGCCTAATTCTCTGGGATGGGGTCCGGCGACGTCCTTATAAAAGTTCTCTGGTGGTCTTCATGCAGCCAGCCCCAGATGACACTGAAGCAAGCATCTGAGACCCACTGGCAGACTGGAGCATGGGAGTGCTGCTTGGTGGCTTCCATGACAAGTGCCCTGACTCAGCAGATGTAGACTTGGGGTCTACATCAATCTTTTCCACACCAGATGTTCAATAAATGAGTTCTATATCTTCCCTGGGGAAAAATATGAGTGGAAAGCCTTAGAACTCTGTATTCACCAATAAAATGTTGGTCATTTATTCTAGTTTCTAGCACCCAGTAGGTGCTCAATAAATACTCACTGGATGAATGGGTGGAGAGATGAAGAAACTGGATGAGGAAGTAGAAGGAGCCCAGGCAACCCACACTACACTGAGAGCCCAGGGCCTGGATCCTAGCGTGCATCTTAGCTGAGAGTCACGTGGTATGAGGCGGGGCCGGCAGGGTTCATGAGCTGTGATAAGTCTCAAATGAGACCCAAGCACAGAGGGGTTCTGACAGAGTAATACCACCTTGAGACCAGGATGAAAAGCCAGACCTAGACCTCAGCAAGCACTGAGACTAAGACAAAATCAATGAGGTAGCCTTCCACAGAGATGACCACATAATTTCTCATTTTTAAAAAATCACCTATCATGGGACTGCAAATTGGGGCAACCACTATGGAAAGCAGTTTGGAGATACCTCAGAAAACTTGGAATGGATCCACCATTTGACCCAGCTATCCCACTCCTCGGTCTACAGTCAAAGGACCTAAAATCAGCATACTACAGTAATGCAGCCACATCAATGTTCATAGCAGCTCAATTCACAATAGTTAAACTGTGGAACCAACCTAGGTGCCCTTCAACAGATGAATGGACAAAGAAACTGTGGTGCATATACACAATGGAGTATTAGTTAGCCTTAAAGAAGAATGAAATTATGGCATTTGCAGGTAAATTGATGGGACTAGAGAATATCATGCAAAGTGAAATAAGCCAATCCTCAAAAAAACAAAAGCTGAATTTTTTCTCTGATAAGTGGATGCTGATCCATAATGGGGTGAGCTGATAAGGGAAGAATGAAGGAACTTTGGTTTGTGTAGAGGGGAGTGAGGGGGGGTGGGGTTCTGGGGATGGGAAAGACAGTAGAAAGAGACAGACATTATTATTACCCTACATACATGTATGATTACACTACTGGAGTAACTCTGAACCATGTATAGCCAGAGGAATAAGAAGTGGTACTCCGTTTGTGTACTATATGTCAAAAATGCATTCTACTGTAAAATAAATAATAAAAGAAAAAAATCACTTATCCATGATTTAATGTGGGAGGTTGGCCTTGCAACAGCAGAAGTGAAAGGTCTGAAGGTTTAATTTACTCGACATAAGTCAACACTGTAATAGAAACACCAAAAACAGACCACACTTCCAATCTATAAGATATGTATGTGTATGCACAGGCACATAAACTATACAGCCTGCCTTCCATATCTGTGAGTTCCATACTGTTGGATTTCACCAAACCCAGATGAAAAATATTTTTTAAAAACTGCATCTGTACTGAATGTGCAGATTTTTTTTGGCATTAGTTCCTAAACAATACAACTATTCATATTGTATTTACCTGTACCAGGTACTACAGTCATCCAGAGGTGGTTGATAGCCTATGGTGGGGTGTGTGAAGGTTATATGCAAATACTACACAATTCCACACAGGGACTTGGGCATCCATGGGCTGTGGCTTCCACAGGGGTGAGACCAATCCCCACAGACAGCAAGAGACGATCACGCACACCTGAGTACACGCCAAACACCTGAAGAGTGAGAGCCACAGCTCTGTCGGCACCCACCAGACCTCACACCCTGGCCTGCTCCGAGCGTCTCATCTCACAAAACTACCTGCAGGGGGCTGAATGGTCGTCACTTGTGAAGGTGGACGAGGTACCCGAGAGTCAAAGGCAGGCTGTAAATCACACTTATTCCTTAGCCACCTTTAGGGGCACCATCCCTCCAGAAGCTTCTGATGGAATACTGCATGCCTGTCCCCAACTCCCTCCTTCCCACATGTGCACTGAAGTCTGCTCTCGCCTGTCCCAGGGGGGCCACTGGCAGCATCCTGCGGAGGCACCCTCCCCGGGGCTCTGTGGTCCAACCTCACTGGTCTGGGTCTGCTCCTCAGTCCCTTCCCAGGCTCCTGAGGGCAACCTTGGGCTTCACCTCTCACTCCCACATGCTTCCACTTCCGGGGCTCCCGCGATGTAGGAGCTATTGGCTCTGATCAGCTGAGATGGGGTCTCCAACCATGAACCCAACCCTTAATGGATCTCCTCCCTGACGCCCCTTGAGCACTTTGAAACCTACATTCCAAAGTGAACCCTAGACCAACCCCAACCACTTCCCTTGTGTACTCAGGTGTGTGTAATCGTCAGTACTTATCCTAAGGAGCAGCTGGCCCCTCCTCTACCAGCTGCCAAGCGGCTGCTCCATTGCCAAGGCTTATTTAATTCTCCCCTGAACATCCCTTGGTTCTGCGGAGGGCTCCCAAGCCCCACTACTACCCTAGTGGAAGGCACATCAAATCCTGCCTGAAGCACACTGTCCCTTCTTCTCGGCTTGCTCCTTTCCCATCCTTCCCAGGCAACCCGTTGGATATTTCTGCAAGACACATGGATCCACTGGGCACTCTCCTGTTCAGACCTCTTCAATAGCTCCCCAGCGCCCTTGGGAGAAGTCCCAATCCTTAACAGGCCACAGCATTCACAGCGGCCCTGAAGCTCATCTCCTGCCCCCCTGTCCTGCCCACTTCCAGCTCCCTCCTCTGATGGAGTGACTTTGAGGTCTTTCAGTCAGTCCCTACACTCCTCAGTGCCCTCCCCTCCCCTTCATCTGAAGCCTGCCCTCGGCACTTCCTACCACGCACTCTCGGAAGCCCACACCATGCATGCTGTAGCCTGTTGGGAGTCAAACTGCGTCCCCTTCAAGAGTCACGTTGCCATCCTAACCCCTAGAATGTGACCTTATTTGGACACTGGGTCACTGAAGAGCATTTAGTGAAGTCAAGGTCATCTTGGAGCAGGGTGGTCCCTAGGCCAAAAGGATCAGTCTCCTGATAAGAAGAAGGAATGGGCAGAGGCACCCAGGGAAAAGGCCACATGGACACCGGAGCTGGGCTGCCAGAAGCCAAGGATAGCCAAGGACGTGGAGTGACGGTCAACAGTGGTCCACCTGGCGCCTTGAATACAGCCCTGCTGCTCTGCACTCAGGCCCATTTTTCTGCTTTCTATCCCCCCTCCCTAACCTGGGGGCAGAACAGGATTATCTTATTCCCGACCTAGGCAGAGCCATCCTCTTGGAGCACCCGCCACCACAGGAATCCAGTAAGGCAGACTTCAGGGGTGGCACCAGAAGATCAAATTAACAAGTGAATCACAACCAGGGAACAGCTGGTATGAAGCACTCGGAGAGGTGCACACCTGGAATCCCAGCAGCTCCCAGCAGCTCAGGAGTCTGAGGCAGGAGGATCCTGAGTTCAAAGCCAACCTCAGCAAAAGCAAGGCCCTAAGCAACTCAGTGAGACCCTGTCTCTAAATAAATACAAAACAGGGCTGGGGAGGTGGCTCAGTGGTCGAGTGGCCCTGGGTTCAATCCCCAGCCCCTCTGTTCTCCCTGATGGGCAGAAGCACAGCCTCCGGGACAGCAGAACCCTGTGGTTCTCCTTTGCTGCAAAGCAACAAATCTTCTTTTTCCTCTTCCTCAAAACTGCATCCTCATTACTAAATGGGCATCCGGGATGAGGACCGAGCTTTGAGTGCTCAGTCCACACCTTGATCTGGGGAACTTCTGGCCTCTAGAACTGGGAGACATGAAATGTCATTGTTTGAGTCTGTGACACTTTGTTAAAAAACGTCCCTAGCAAAGGACCACACGCCCCTGCGTCCTCCAGGCTGCCTGCAGATCCCCATCTCACCCCCCCCCCCCCCCCCCCCCCGGCCACCTCCTTAGTGACTGCAGGCTGGTGGCCACTGCAGAATACGCGGGCAGCCAGGTCTGTCTCTGCTGAACGTCACTCATGTAACCACAGGGCCCGTAAGGCAGCCAGCTCCCTCAGGGTCAGGGTCAGGGTCCTCCCTGCAGTCCCAACAGGCTTCAGCCCCAACCCCAGCCTCGCCAGAGACTCACAGAGATGATGTGCCCCTTGAGGCCGTGGGCGGAGTCCGCACACTCGATCACTGCACTCAGCTGCGGGTAGCCCACCCCGGTCTTGGTGCGGGTGGTGCACACAGAACCTGCGGAGGAAGGGGGGACCCCAAGGAGACGTTACACGTGAGAGCACATGAACGAAACGCGCCCCCTCACCTTCCCGCTGCCCTGCCCCAGTGACCGGTGGACTGTCCTCTGCAGGGGGTGCATGCTTGGGAGGGAGGGGCTGACTGACCAGTGCAACAGAGGTGGCCATGCACCACCCCACCTGCCCATGCAGGCCCTGTGGCCCTTGTCACTGTCACCACCGATGTCCAGGATGTCGCCCTCCCCTCGATCTCCCCTGTGTGGCTGAGCACCGACCTCCCCCAGCCCACTCCCCCTCCTACCCCTTCCTGTCTCAAAGGACTTCCCAGAGTCCTCCCACAGCCTCTGCACCCTGAACCCCAAACCTCTGTCAACCTCCTAACCTCCCCAAGCCTCAGAAGTCCCTGCGCACCTGTGACAGAAACATAAAAGCACACGCCTTGCAGGTTGGGACCTGGGTCAGATGGCACAAGGAAAAAATGGTTTGGCCTGGATCTGACCTGCAGGGGACCCCTGAGGAAGGGGGGCCAGGACAGTGGTACCCCTCACTCCTCCTCAGCTCTGCCTCCATGAGACCCCTTGCCATCTCGCCGTCCACCTCCCACCTGAGCTGCACTGCCCCGAGTCCCCAACCAGCCTCCACCCTAAGTCAGCTGCCGTCTGGTGCCTACATCAGCTCTGCTGCCCACCTTCCTCCCCCACCTCTCCTACCATCGAGCCCCGTCCAGGCTGTGATCTCTGTCAGGTCTGGGAAACAGGTGTCCTTTCCCTATGTCCCTCCCAACAAGTGAGCACCCCTTCACGCTGTACCCAGATCAGCTAGATCAAGATCCACCTGCGACCCTCCTGGCTCACCTCATCTCTAGCTGCTACTTACCCCAGACTCAGTCCCTCTGACGGAGGGGGCAAGTTTCTCCCCCCCTTAGGGATTCTCTGTACCCGCTGTTCTCTATACACCCCCCTCCGCACCACCCCCTCTCCAGGCAAGCCTTTCTCATCTTCAGGCTTCATCTTAAATGTCAGTGCCCCAGGGAACTTGTTCACCGCAGGATTTCTTCCAAGCAGCAGCATTTAAATAATTATTTGTGCAAGCGCGTTGAGGATCTGTTTTTCCTCTGCCGGGTGGTAAACTCAGTGGATATTCACACTGCCGTCTATCCCACGCTGAGAAGAGAGCCTGGTACATAATAAGGGCACTATAAATAGCCACTGAGAGGATGCACAGGCCAGGAATGAGTGTGTCACCCACGTCCCCGTCTCCACTGCTCCGCCACCCGCGCAGCTGCTCCTGGATGTCCATCTGGGGTGCTCTGGGGCCAGCGTAATGGCAGACCAGAGATACCATTCCTCCTGCTCAGAGCATTGACTGCCCCCCGTGACGGCAACCACACTCTGAGACACTGGAATAGTCAAACTGAAGACCTCCCTGTGAGGTCTAAGGCCGGGTGTTTTATGGGTCCACAGGGCTGTTGTTCCTCTTTTCCTCCATGTCCTGGTCCCTCGAACACTCCCCTCTGCACCAGGCCAAGTCAAAACCCACCGGGGTCCTGGCCTCCAGCCGTACCCTCCACAGACTCCTCTCGTTGGCTTATGGTCCACTTCCTTTTATCATGGTGTCTTTTGGGTGGGAGGTGCTTTTAAACATCTTTGCTGTTTTTGTAGTCCCAATATGAAAATGTATGTCTTCTCTCCTGCTCTCTAATGTTAGCATCTGATTAATACAGACATACAGGGAAGACGTCACCAACACAGCAGTGGACTCAGCCTCCAGTATGGCACTCAGGAGGGCAGACACCAGTGGACGCAAGAAACCACGGCGCCACCCAGCATAAGGACCGAAGGCCTCCACCTCTCTCCTCCGTTCAAGATGCCAACGGGTGGTCCTAGCAGAGAAGGCCTGAAGGGGAAATGGGCGAAATCTTGCCTGCCGGCTGCCAGGTGAGGAGCCAACCGTGACATGTGCCTGGTCACAGGTGACGTTCAAATGTGGATTCACAGCCACACGCCGATTTGCAACGTTCAAACATTCCTACTCATGAGCCATCCTTGTCCATTAACTGTCCTCTCCATCCTCCCTTCCTCTTCAGAGCACTCAGCTTGTTAATGAACTCTGCGATCTTCTCTTCCACATGGATGCTCTGAAGCCAGGACACCATATTCCAACTTCATCTCTGCTCCTCTCAACGCCGTCTGGAGGCGTCACAATGAACTCAAGGACCTCTCTTCTCAGGAGCTCTGTCTGGAAGCTCCATGATGCTTCCAGAAGAGATGGGCTTTGAACCCATGGGTGAGTTGTTCCTGTGTTCCCATCTGGTCATTCCCAGGGCCCCCAAGCCCCAGGCCCGTTCCTCCCCACAGACACCCTCCAGGGGCTTCAAGGTCTTACCTGGCCCAACTCCCACTTTAATGATATCTGCTCCCGAGAGAATGAGCTCCTCCACCATCTCTCCTGTCACCACGTTCCCTGCCTGGGACAGAAGGAACACAGCTCACAACAGTGAGGACTCCCGGGGGAAGGTGAATGAGGAGCCCCACACCTGAGCACGGGGTGGCCCGTGATCACCAGGCCACTGGGGGACAAAAGGAAAAAGAAAACACTGGCCCCGGATCCTGAGTCTGTTTAAGTCTGAAACTGGGGAGCCAGGGTCTTCCTTTGGTTCCTTTCATTACCTGGAAAAAGGTTTCCCGTATTCATTACCTGGAAACCACTCCTGAAGAAGCGGCCAGGGATCACTGATGCAGGAGGAGGGCCTGAACTAGATCATTCAGAACCAGAAGAGACTGGAGGGTGCCTGGGTCAGGAATGTTCTAAACACGTCAGCAATAAACAAAGCAAAAACTTCCAAACACATAAAATAAGCCACGAAACACATTCAAACTGACTGAAATTCTTATTGTGGTGCCTAGAATACTTCAGAGAAGCCGTGTGTAGAGGTGTACGCCTATGATCCCAGCAACTCTGGAGGCTGAGGCAGGAGGATCGCAAGTCGGAGACCAACCTGAGCTGAGCGAGACCCTGTCTCAAAATAAACTTTAAAAAAAGAGTTGGGACTGAAGCTCAGTAGTTTGACTTGCATGGATGAGGTCCTGGGTTCCAGGTGGGGAGACTGGGGGGTGGGGGGAGACAATGCTTCAGAGTTTGCCAAATCTCTGAAGAATCTCCATGAACTCCAGAGAGCCAGGACTGGAAAATTCCCCATCTTCTCATAGTTGAGAAATTCCCTGAGTGTCCTTGCCCTAGGGTTGGGGTTCCCCTCTGGATATGGAAGGACAGATCAGTCCTTATGGATCACATAGCATTGGCATGTGCTCTGTTTACTGAGCACGAAGCTTTGGCCCTCAGAATAAACCCACAAGCCAGGAAGTAGCAGAATCTATCAACCAGGAGGATGCATCTGGTTTGGAAACAGTTCAAGTTCTTTCGCTGCAGGAGTCCGGGAGCACAAAAATAGCCCTTTATATTACAACTCCTTGCCCTGTGGATCCTTCAGCTGGCACACAGGACCCTGGGCAAGATGCCCAGCTGAGTTTTTACGACTGCACAAAGGCCTATTTCACAAAGTGCATCCCTGTCCCCTCTGCTCACACGGACACCGAAGGGTCTCTTCACTGAATTGATTTTCGGGGGGGGGGGGGGGATTTTATTTTTTAACCTAGACAAAGTGACTAGCACTTCCTAGAAAAGGTTGCTAGAAGAAGGTGGTGAGGTGGGCACAAAGCTACTTAACTACAAACAGCAGCTGACAACGGAGGGTGACAGGAGGACTAGAAGGGGGTCAGAGTTGAAGGACAGCTGCAAAGAACCCTTGAGTACCTGCAAAACGTCAAAGAAAAAACAAAAAGCTGCCCGTGTAGAAGTGAAATGCACACATGCAACAGCTCCAGCAACCAACACCAACCGGGCAGAGAAAAATACACTATCCCGTCGAAGGGGCACCGTCCCCAACATAACAAGAGGAGAAAGGCTAACACCTCACAAGTACCCAAGGACGAGAACGAACTAATAGGAATTTTTAAAAAGTGGCTAACAAAACCCGGGGAAATGTTCAACTCCGCTAATCATCAAAGTGAAAATGCCGACGTGGTCCTACTTTTCACGTCGGTCCTCAGCAGTTGCGAGCATGAATGCTCAAGTCAACGCATCAGTAGATCTGCTGGAGGAAAGTCTGTTTGGGTCCAAATTTTCCTCAAAAGCAATTTGTCCACAGAGAAGAAACAGGAAGATGCACACATCTTTTGATCTAGTAATTCTCCTTTTAAGATCCTCTCCCAAGGAAATCATCAATGAGGACAGAGGTTCAACTGTAAAGACTATCATGTGTCACAGTGCAAAACTGCAAATACAGTCCCCAAAATGGGAACGGTTCAACAATTAGTGGCCCACTCACGTGATGGTTGAGACTTCTTTGTTTTGGGGCACAGAGCTGGAGATCCAATCCGGGGCCTCTTGTTCATGCTAGGCAGGCGCTGTCCCACTGAGTCACACCCCTGCCCCGTGGGATGCTTTTAAGGACAGTTTGATGGCATGAGGAATGCTTAAATAGTGTAGGGGGAGGCAAGATCTCAACTTTGTTTATATTTTTTAGATGTACGTGTATATGAAAAAAACAAAACAAAACACCAAGGTGCTCAACCACCTGGGTGAAGAGACATTCTGAATTCTATGAATTCTCTCCTTCTAAACTTGTCTGGATTTTATACTAGAAGCACATATTTTTTTTAAGGGGAGTTGGGGGTGGGGTTGAACTGTTTTCTGTAGCACAAGGAAAAGCCTGAACTCTGGTGTTCAGGAGTCTGAGAAGAGTGCAGCTCCTGTTCTTCCTCGCTGGGTGACTCACTAGGACAACACCTCCAGGAAGCAACTCCAACGGCCGCCATTGCGTTTTCAACGTGGATTTGTTTTCCCCCCTGGGGTACCACCTGCAGACCATTTTATTTCCTTCTTCAGACAAAATAACTCAGCTCACAATAGACGGACCCGGTCCCACCAGGTAAGGGCAGTGAGTTTACCCAGGTGAGGAAGGCCAGCCCTGGTTCTGTAACCAAGAGCTTCCACAGTGTCGTCCCCTCTGCTCAGCCACCACGTGGCTCTGTGGTCAGGACACAGTCACTGAGGCCAAGTGGAAAACCCCAAAGTGACCATGAAGTGCCTCTAGTGTGAGCCACAACATAACAGTCGAACACCGGGGACCAGGAGGGGACCAGGGGGTTGTACGGACAGACGGGCAAAGCCGTCTACTCAAATTTGAAATCAAGAAGAGCAAAACCAGGGAACAGAGGACAAGACCAGAGCAGAAATGAGAATGGTGACACAGCAGTTGGGCTCTGGTGACGTCCCTGGCCTCTGGTCTGGGCATGGTGTGAGGCAGCGGAGCGGGGAGGGGCTGGCCAGGGAGATTGAGGAGCTGGCCTTATCTTGGCAGGGACACTTCCTGGCACGGCGGACACAGGCCGTCAGCACTCAGGGTGCCGGGGTCTGCCCGCAGCTGCACGGCAGGCCGCTCCTCTCCTGGCAGCCAGGACGGAAGATGCACTGTGGGGCTCCTCGCAGCAGGCACAGGGGCTCTGCCAGGTCCCCCTCGCCCGGGGAGGCCAGGCAGTGCCCGGGCTCCCTCCCACTCTGGATGGAGCAGCCACTCCTCTGCGTCAGAGATGTGCGAGGACCAGGGGAAAGACACGGGGTGACAAGGCTTGCCGCGGTCTGAGAGTTTGTCTCTCTCCAGACTTCACGTGTTGAAACCCTCCCCCCAAGTGGGGGTGCTAGAAGGCAAGGCCTTGGGGGCCATCAGGTTACGGGGAAGACCCTCCGGGATGGAGTCATGCAGGTAGATACAAGACAAGAGAGCCCAGGAGTCCTCACCCCTCCACTACACGAAGACACAGTGACGAGACCACGCCTGTCAACCAGGCTCCTGCCAGGCACAAATCGGCCTCTGGAACTGTGCAGAATAGACTTACGACATCCATAAGCTACCAGTTCGTGGTATCTCGTTTGAGTGACCCAAAGAGACCAAAATCCTCGGTGCAAAAACAAAACTCAAAAACTGCTTGCTCCCATTTTTCCAGCTTCCTTTTAGACCCACACCCATGGCAAACACAATCCAAAAAGACCCCCGGGGTCCGACACCAGATCTCCCTTTTCCTGGGTAGTTTGGAGCAAGTTCCTTCAACTCTGAGTCTCGGTCGATCCTGCTATAAAACGGGGCCCGGCGTCCCCACATGCGGTTATTACAAGGTTCACAAAGAAGCCTGTCCGATTCTCAGCACAGCGCCCAGCAATGCCCCGTAAATGTCAGTCCCTCCCTGTGACAGTGATTTCTGTATGTTACTCTTCTCACAACTTTTGAGGTTTGAGTGAGTGATATCTGTGATCACATTCACCATTTTCAATATATGGCCAGTATTAAATCCATTCACACTGTAACGCAGCCGTTGTTCATCTCCAGAAGTTTCCACCACCCAAATTCATCATTGTCCACCCTGGGCACTGGCTCGCCCTGTGCCAAGAGAAGTCCTTTCCACGGAATGAGAAAAGGGAGGGGATTGGGCCTACAGGTAGCAGTAGGGCACCCCCAAGGTGAGGGGGGTGAGGACCGCCTCAGGCCCTCTCCCATCCCTGTGCACAGCACCGCTCTCGCTGCCTGTGCAGTCCAGGTGACCGCCGCCCTTGAGAAAACAGAGCTGAGATGATTATGTGTTTCCCAGAGACGCGCACCCCCTGGACCTCTGAGGCCCTTGGTAGCTTTCAGTGGGTTCCAGAAAGAGAATGAAACCAGAAAACCCGTGGGCTGGGCCTGGGGCTCAGCGGTGGAGCACTTGTCTTGCATGTGTGAGGCCTGGGGTTCCATCCTCAGCACCCCATAAAGATGAATAAAATAAAGGCATGGTGTCCATCTATAACTAAAAATATATATATTAAAACAAACCCAGAAAACCCAGGGAGCACGGCCTGAGAGGTGCTGTCAGCTGTAACACACTGACTGGCAAAGCCACTGGGTCCATGCAAGGAAGTGTCCCCCTCTCTGGGTAGAGGTGTGGGGCATGTGGCTTGAGCCCTGTCTCATGATGATAGGTGGAGAGAGAAGGCAGCTGACTGAGCCAGGCTCCTGTGTAGAAATGCCGAGGCTGGGCCGGCCTCTGGTCTAACAGGAACGGGAGTGGCCTTAGGTCTCCCAGGCCACAACAAGCCATCTGCACTGAAGCCCTCCCCAGAGCCCACAGCGGTACCTCCATGTTTGGCTGTGATCTGGCATAACTGCAAGATCGCAGGTCACCTGGCCCTGAAAGCCAGGCCCACCTTTCACAGAACCCCTGGCTTCTGTGAGACTAGGTTTCACATCAATAGAAGTGAGTGGCATCATGCCCACTCTAAGAGGTGGTATTAAAATAGACATGGGCTGGGCTGGGGCTCAGGGGTGAAGCACCAGCTTAGCAGGAGTGAGGCCCCATGTTCAATCCCCAGCACCACCACCAAACCCAAACCCAAATAATGAAAATACAAAAGAAGTGCCTGATCCAGTTACTGCCGCTTCCCACAGTACCTAGAACGCACCCAAGAAAACGGGGTTCTTTGTCCTGTCTGAAAGCCACAGGCCCATGCCTTAACACTGCTACAGTCTCCCAACAGCCAGCCCCTACACAGGGACTCTTTTCTGCCAAAGATGCTGCTGAAAAGTCCCCACCTCTGGCAAGGCTCACCTGAGGGGCACGGCAAGAAAAACCCGGGCAGTGAGACCATCCCAGGTCATGACACAGAGGCGTGGCCAGCTCTGGCCGGAGTGCTCCTGAGTTCGCCTTCTACTGGGCCTTGTATTGACGCTCAGGACCCCACCCAGCACTTTTCAGCTCCAAAACCCTGGGGAATGTGAATGCGCACTCAGTCCTCACAGTGCCTCCAAAAGCCGCAGGGAAATCACGTGTGCAAAACCACAAGAGCCAGGGGCAAGAGTGCTGGGGCCTCTGAATGACTCAAAGATTTCAGGGGTCAGCGGAGGTGAAGAATGGCTCAGCAACCAACACCTACCTCTGCCAATGTTCCTGTCCATTGCTGAGGAAACCAACAAGGGCAAGCAGAACACCTCCAGGGCCAGCCAACAGGTGCTGGATGGAGAGGCCCCCAGGTAGGAGGCCACCCAGAGGGCTGTGGGAACTCTGCGTCCACCCTGCACCACCCCCTTAGCAACCCCAGACCCTGCACTGGCCACAGTACCCTTTCCCTGCCCCGCCTGGCCACGCTCCTTCCTGCTGGTCCCATTGCTCCTGGTCTCTGTCCCTGAAGGGTGGCACACAGGCCCTCTGGACTATGCAGCGGTCACCTACCTCCCTTCTCAGCAAGGCCAGCTCTTGGAGCAGCAGGAGCGAGGTCTGGGGAGCCACCATGCAGAGAAGCGAGGCTCACTTCCCCACCCTTCTCAACACAATCCCCAGCCTCTCCCGGCCAGAGGTGATCCTCAGAGCACATGCCCTGGGTAGACTCCCTGCTGACAAGCACCTGCTGGGAAATGCCGCTCTGCCTACAAACAGCATCCCCTGGGGGACCCCAGCATCCTCCAGCCACCAGCACCCTCACACGAGAGGATAGAGAGATCTGGACACATACAATGCCCCCAGGCCACTCAGCTCCTGTGCCTACCCTGACTGCAGAAGTGCTGCCTCTGAACGTCTGTGTCCTCCTCAACTTCATCTCTTGACACCTAGTCCCCATATTGGGAAGTGGCACCTTTGAGAGGCGACCAGGTCATAAGGGCACAGCGGCCCAAATGGACTAAGGGGAGCCAATAAGTAATTTTAATGGTGTTGAAACCAGCTACAAAGGATAGAGACAGGAAAAGAGCAAGGGAGGCAGCTGGGCAAGAGTATTAAGCTCAGCCCCAGAAACCATGGAGTACTATGCAGCTGAGAAAACACCCTGGGAAATCTCAAATGCACCATCGAGGAAAAGCAGATTCAAAAGATATAGAGATGAACACTTAAGTTTCAAAACCAGGCAAAATCTAAGTGTCATTTAGGACTGCAGAAGTAAGTGGCAAACCACAAAGAAGGAAGAGAGGACCACAGTCGAGATGGGTGTTTCATTTGAGGCAGGAAGTCAAGGGCTCCTTCGTACAGGTGAGCTGACGTGTGCTTATTTTATGATCATTTATTAAACCTCCATGTTTTATATGCTCTTCTGAATCTCATATTTCAACTTATAAAGTTACTGAACACATAAAGAGGAACTACCAAATCACCTGTGTAATTTCTGATTAGTGCTTCAAAACTAACCTGGGGCCCTGATGTCAGGAGATGGAGAGAGTGGCTTCCCGTGTCCTAATGAATCCCTGCGTCTCCAGAGCAACTAAGAGGAGAGGCCAGGGAGCAGAGTGGACCCAGAGCCTCAGACAAGTTGGTCAATAGCAGCCCCGTCTCCTCCTCTCAGGAAGGAATAAACAGGAGGCCTCCTCCACAAAGACCTGTGGGGTCTGTGGCCAGCCTGGGCAGGGCTTAGAGAACTGAAGTTCCATAATGAATGCCGTTTACGGGCCACCAGGTCCAGGCAAGGCTGGGGCTCCTGTTGTTCTGGAAGTCAACTTCCAGTTCCTTCTTTAAAATGTCCCAGGAAAAAGCTACCACGGGGGCGTGTAGACAGAGAAACCCAGTGGGACCTCACGACCAGGGGCAGGAGCGATGCCTTCCACTGCCAGCCCAGAGGTCAACCTGTGTGACCTGGGGACCAGGAGGCTGGGAACTGTCCTGGGGAAGGTTAAGGAGGACAGGGGCATGTCCAGCACACCTCAACGGGCAGCTGGCATGGCCTTCAGACTTATGTTGATGTGTTTTCTGAAAATTCTCAAAACCAAGAACAAATCAGAGTTTAAGATTCCTGATCTGCAGTACATGTGGGATGACCCTTTCTGTCTTTGCAGAGATCTTACAAAGACGACAGGAGATTGACATGAACCTCCTGAACCAGCAGGTACTTATAAAGAAAAAAAAAAAAAAAAAAACCACACACAAACACGCACCTTTTTCTTACTCCTCATATTTGACACAGTAGAGAACACTTCAGGGAACCGTCCCCCCCACACACACCAAGCAACTGTCCCACCAGGCACCCTACCATTCAACTCGGTTCTGACCTCAGGTGCCAGTCACAAGGAGGTTACCCACAAATCCTGTACCAACTGGCAGCTCCCATGATCCCCTTCCCAAGGCCTCTGCTGGAGCTGCTCAGACCCATGGAAACTTTGGACAAGGAAGCTCAGACTTACTGGTTTAGGATGTTGGTCATGGCTACCGTAAAGGCTGCGATGAAGAGACACCCAGGGGAGGTCCTAGGATCTCAGGTCCAAGACCAAATCTTACAACAAAAGACTCTCCAGGCCCCTCACCTAGAGGATTGCTGAGGAGTTCCGTCTCAGAAGCAGACTCCTCATTATTTCACAGAATTGAACCCACTTCACTATTTTAAAAGTGAGCTGTGCTGTCACGCAGGGTAAGAAGAGTTTTGCCACTTCCTGCCCACGCCTCCCTGGCCCAGCTGCCAGCCTCAGCTCAGTTCTTACCTCTTTCTCCTGGTGAGCTGGAAGAGCATAAAAAGACTTAAGGATCCTCAGAAGTCCCTTCACAGAAGACTAAACTCCATTAACCAATAATTTGGGCCCCCCAACTTCCTTGCCCTGATGAAATGTGCGGAGAAATCAGGCTCCGAACCCAACAAAGCTGAGGGCAGGTGAAACACCCAGCAGACGACCTGTAATCACTGCGGAAATTGAGACCAAGGAAGAATAACTACGACACAGATTTTCCCAAAGGCCCAACTCTAGAGATTTCAACTTCCTTTTTTCTGCAAATCCACCATTCCCAGAAGTCACAAATACGCATTCCAACTAGTGAGGGTGCTAGTGATGGGGACAGTCAGGAAATGGGTCCCATGTGATGAAACAACACGCCCATCGGCCGGCCACAGTTGTTGCACGAGGTTCCCGTTGTGGAGTCCAGTGCTCACGGCAGAGTCGGGGTGCAGTGCGGAGGACACAACCCTGCTGAGCTGAAACCCTGTTATGTGTTTCCTACTTTAACACATGCTCTTTGCTGAAGGTGGCAAGACCCTTTTCCAAAGGTCTCATCTGGTAAGAAACACTGAATGATATTTAGCAAAAATAAGAAAGTGGGGTTTTATTTTTATAGTGGAAAGTGAGTTTCCAGATCTTCCAAGGTGGCTACCTTTCCTTTATGGGGGCTTGGGGGTAGAGGTGTGCAGAGGGGTGGCAGTATTACCACTGCCCACATCCTCAGCCCTTTGTATTTATTTGGAGACAGGGCCTCACTAAGTCACTGAGGCTGGCCTTGAACTTGTGATCCTCCTGCTCAGCCTCTCGAGTTGCTGGGATTATAGGTGTGCACCACCACACCCAGTTGCCTCTCCTTTTCCTAATGATTCCACACTAGCCTTTTAATAAGAGGCTATGACAAGAACGCAGGTCCCCCCCACACTGAATCCCTCTGCCTCCTCACCTTGAAATATCCCACTGTACTTACCATGATGGTGTGCTCGGGAAACCTGGCCCGGACCAGTTTCACGAACTCCACAAAGTGTTCGGAATAGCCGTTGGCCACATCCAGGCAGATGAACTTCACCTGCGGCACAGCTTCCAGGATGCTGCTCATCTTTTCCAGATCATTCTGTCCACTGCCCGAACTCACAGCCACGTGCTGTACCAAGATGAAGCAAGAATGTCGGCATGGGCAGGAGCATTCCCGGCAGACCCCCCTGCCTCCTCCCAGGTGGCTTCTCTGGGGACAAAAAGGCATCCCTGGCAGGTTCCACCTGATCGAATCACAGCGGGTCTGCTCAGGAGACAGAGGAGAGCTGTGCCCCTAAATGAGCTCAACTTCGATCATCATCTTTTCTACCTTGGCATTGCACATATCCTCAAACCTGGGCCTCAGCCACTAAAACTTTCCAGTAAACAGATTCTTAAATATGCAGGAGATATTGTCCTTGGCTTTCATTGCATTTTCTCAAGATTCCTGTGTGGAACGATAAACAGTGGAGCCACCCGTACAAACATATCATGGCACAGAAACTCGACAGGTAAGAGGGAGGAACTTTCCAGCAAGAACAAAGTGGGGACACTCAACCTGGAAGAGGGAGTTAGAGACGCTGCCTCTGCTAACCGCAGTGACTTCACTTGGGCCTGCAGATGTCCTATGGGAAACAGAAATAGGACAAAGCTTGGCAACTCTGCCTCCATTTTTGTGACCTGTCCTCTTTATTAGCTTCGACCCGCGGTCAGGCCCCTGCCCAGCTCTGCGCACAGACATGTTAATCACTGTGGCCGGGCTCACCTAAAAACCAGTTCTAGGTTTCCTAGCCTCACATTTACCTGGCCTATCTCATCCCCCTCCAAGACTGAGTTTCAGGGACATTTGACTGTCAGCCTCTACAGCATCCAACTCCTGGAGTGGCACCTAGAACTTCTCATTGTCCTACAACTTCCAAGAGCTCACCCCATAGGACTGTTCCCCTGAAGGCAGGGACAATCACCTCATGGGAACTAAACTGCCCCCTTCAGGATCACAGTGTGATGGACAAACACCCTGAATGACAAGTGGAAATTGCCCCTCAAGCCACAAGGAAGGCCTTCCTGGGAGCCACCTTGCAGAACCAGAAGTAGAGACGGATCAACCTGACACCTGGATGGAGACCACCCCATGCGCAGACCTCACGCCTCCCTAATGAAACCCGAAGCTGCAGGCAGCACCGACCCCAGGCTGAGATGCTGGGTCTCACTGTGCCTTCCCAAGGTGGCCCAGTCGAGGGGAGTGCTTTGCCTGCTCTCCCTTTTACTTTTCTGGTTTTGCTTTTTGGGGAAAGTGACCATGCTCGGTTTGCTGGGACCTCTGGAGTCAAGCCTCTGGCCCAGGGCTCCAGTCTCTGAAAAATACAGGTAACAACTGTCTACAGAGCATGAACACTGTATCAGGCATGCCATCTAGAGATGGGTTAATGGTGCAAGCAGGTCTGCGGCCACTGCCCGAGCACATCTGGTCTCATCTCAAGTGTGCACGAGGATGTGCCTAGTTTATATGCAAATATACGGAAGCACTTGAGCATTCGAGAAGTTTGGTGTCTGCGGAGTGGTCCTAGAACCAGTCCCCCACACACAGCCAGGGACAATGGTCTAATTCATTTGAATACAATTCAGCAAAAAAATGAAGGACTTGCTGTTGATCAAAATGATTTCCTCTCCAAAACCACCTTCTCAATAATGAAGCCCACCCCTAACTAAAGGAGGGTGGGAGCAGCAGCAGAAAGAGAGACCCCCCCACACCAGGCAGTTAATGTCCCAAATCCTCAAATCACAAATCACAAATGAGCTGACTGTGGGGAGGGAGAACTGTCACCCTAGGAGACCTCCCTGCTGAATCTGGGTCAAACCACCTGTAGGTTCAGGAAGGACAGGAGTGCTACCCTAGGGATTTCTATTGTTGTTTTAAAATTATCCTTTTTTTTTTTTTTTTCCTGGACACTTTTCTGAGATGGGACATACCCAGACTGCACAATTCCGTGACTTTTGGCAAACTCAGAGTTGTGTGTTCACCACAACCAATTATTTTTTACTTTATTTTTTTTAGTTATAGATGAACACAATTATTTTATTATTTTTATGTGGTGCTGAGGATCGAACCCAGGGCCTCACACATGCCAGGCAAGTACTCACCACTGAGCTGCAACCCCAGCCTCATGGCAACCAATTTTAAAACATTTTCATGATTCCCAAAAAGAAACTCCCACACTTCTTAACCATCACCCCTCTTCTGCCTCCCGCTTCCTCTAATCCATTTTATGTTTACAGATTTCCCATTCTGGACAATTCATGCTAACAGAATCACTTTGCATCTGGCTTTTTGACTTAGCAAAACATTCAAGCTTCATCCACAGGGCCACATGAACCAGCCCATTATTCCTTCTTGTGGCTGAATAATATCATCTGCTATCACGTGGCTACACCCTAATTTGTTTACCCCTCCAGCTACTGATGGATATTTGGGCTCTTTCTGCTTTGAAGCTACTAGAAATAATGCTCCTATGAAAACACATCAACAAGTTTCTGTGTGTGTGTGTGTGTGTGTCTTCACATGTGCTAGATCCACACCTAGAAACAACTGCCAGGTCCTGCAGCAACTCTTAGGTTTCACCTTTTGAGAATCTGCCAGACCGTTTTCCAAAGCATCTCGCGTTCCTGCCAGCACCATACAAGGGTTCCAACTTTTCCCTGACCTCAATGGCACTTCTTATCTGATGAGAGCTGTTCCAGCAGGCATACTGCTCACTGAACTCCAAAACGACTTGCTGCAATAGAGGGTTTTACACGGGCTGGGTCTACCCTGAAACACCTGGCCGGAAGCACAGGTCTCCCTGGGCGCTGGTGAGAAAACACTTCACCTCTCCAGGGAGAGCAGGTAAACCCTAGTACTGGCATAAGGTGCCACAGAGCAGGTGGAATCAGCAAGCCCTTGGAGTGACACAGAGCCGGGAACCACCACCTCAGTGCATCTGACTGCTGATTCACAGGCTTCTGACAACTCTCTCTTCCCAGAGGTACTTGGAGACAAACCCTAGCAGAGTCTTACCTGAAGACATTCCGGGTGCTTTGAGGCAAAAACCTTCCACTCTTCCAGGGTGTAATGCTTATGAACCGCTGTAAACATGGAGTGCTAGGAAACAAGATGGTGACAATGACATTAGGATGCGCAGCCACAGGAGCCCTCTCCCCCGGAGCAGCACCTAGATGTCTCCAGCCATTTGCCTGTGCCTTCCTGGAACAGCAGGCTCTGCAGGGAATCAGCCAGATGGGTCTCCCCCCACCCCCACCCCAAGCAGGAGCAACGGTCTCATGAGAACCAAGTGCCTCCTTCCAGGACTGCGGGTCTGATGGATGAACATCCTTCAGAGTGGAGGCTGCCCCCCATCAAGCAATAAGGGCCTCCCAAAACCAGAACCAAGAATGACCAACCAGACCTCAGGCTCTCCCAGACTGCCCCATGACACTGCCCTCTTACCCGGATCCCTTCCTCACTTAAACCTCAGGCCTCTGTCAACACCCCTAGACAGGCTGACACTGGACCTATTTTGCTTTCTCAATACGGCCATAGAGATGAAAAGTTCCTTTCCTGCTTTTCACCATGACTTTTTATGTTTGTTTTTTGGGGTGAGTGGCCAGACCTGATTTTGGGGGGTCCTCAGAGTAGGCCCTCTGATGTGGGACTCCAGTAACAGCTTTTTCTTGTGTTCACTCTTTGCTAACTGCTTCTTGTTAAAAGCTACACCCATCGGACAGTTGACATGCTTAAGGGAGGGAATTACACAAACCGTATAACCCTAAATCTCTGCCTCTCGACCCAGCCTTTACTATCATGTGCCAGTGCTTGGCAGGCATTATTTCATTTCCTTCTCAGAATAAGTGTGAACCGTATTATTAGCTTCGTGATCTCATTCATGGGGAAACTTTCATGCTGCAAATGGGGAGGACACAGCAAGTTTTTAATGGACTAATAATAATTTGATACGTGAATTAACCAAGAAATTTATTATTCCCTGATTCTCTTCATCTTTCCACTATGTTAGTTAGCTTTCTGTGGCTATGAGAAGACACTTGAGACAGTTAACTTATAAGGAGAAAATGTTTATTTGGGTTCACAGTGTTGGAGGTTCCAGTCCACGAACAATGGGCTCCACTGTTTGGAACTGTGGTGAGGCAGCACCTTATGGTAGGAGCAAAACCACTTACCTCATCACAAGCCAGAGAGCAAAAGGGAATGAGGAAGAGGCTGCATCCCACAATCCCCTTCTAAGGCAAGCCCCCAAGGACATACTGACCTCCACCTAGGGCCCCCTCCCACCCCCTGTAAAGGCTCCAACATCATCTAGTAAAGCACGTCTTTGGGGGCCACTTATCCAAACCATAGCATACACTAATAGGTTGTTCATTAATAGCAGTGACTAATGACAGCAGAGAAGGGAAAGATGGAGAGAAAAAAATGCCACATCCTTGTAGCAATTAATTTATTAGCCTCTGGCCCAAAGCTCCCTGGGGACTGAGAACTGACAGAGGATACAACAGGTCATACAGTCAGATGGACAACCCCCTGCTCTGTTTTTTGAGCTCATAATTTGTTTGAGAATCCTTTCACTCTAATCACTGCCTAATCATGAGTCCCCGGCGCCTCCTGCTGCTAGACTTGCTGCCCACCGTGAGAAGCTCTGTCGACTAATTGGATTTACCCTTGCACTTGGCAGGCTTGATGGACAGAAACAGACACATCACCCCATACATATCGGCAAACGTCTCCCACCGAGGCCCTGAGAGACTCCGCATGCCAGACACAGCCATGCAAGAGCCAGTCTTGCCTACAAACGGCATTTCCTTTATTTTTCCCAAGGCCAAGAAACTACCAATTCTCCGTATTGGCAATTAGATGAGTAGTTGGCCAAAAGGAACCTTGAGATTCTCCTGAGAGCTGTCATTTGAGTGAAAGGCAAACCCCTTGGATTCTAGAGTCAGTTTGGATTAAGTCCTGCCTCTTTCTGCCTGGCTAAAGGCCCCGAAGCAAGCTACCCCTCCTCCCTCCCTCTGCCTAGGTTTTCTCATCATAAACCTGAACTGTGGAGTTGTGAATTAAGAATAATTAAGACACATTATATCCAGTGGTGCTTAATCATTATGTAGCCTAGACTGCAGACCATGTCCCCCGGTCCTAACTTTAAAAGCAATGTCCCTCTTCTATGACACTTATCATGTTCTAACTTATGTGTGAATCTCTAATTTCCAAGTCTATCCCAGGCATTCTCACAGAAGTGGATGTAGCAACAAATAGACTCCAAGTCCAAAGAATGCAAGTCCAGCAACCTCACCATACTGTGAGCCGCAGAGGCAGGAGGACCTTCCATCTCACCTGTGACATCACGACTGCCATCTCAAATGTCCCCACGGTGTCCATGTTGGCCACAATGATGGGAATCCCTTTGTACGTCTGCTTTGAGTTTCGAAATGTAAAGGTACGCTCGAGATCCACCTGTGGGCCAAGAGGGCGACGAGTGAGTGCTCTTTAGGAGAGGTGCAGCATTTCTGTGCTCAGGGAAAGTGAGAAGAACACAAAGGAAGCATCTGACCCTCAGCCCCTGGATTCTCTTTGGGCTCTGACTCCAGATGTTCTGGAGAAAGGAGAATCCCTGAAGAATCCAAGTAACATGTTGTATCCAACTGCAAAAGCTCAAAAGGTGCCTGGTCACCCTCAAGCACCAGTACAAGGCACTGGGAAGGCTACCACAAAGCCGAAGCTCCAAATCAGAAGTTTTCGCTCCTCTATCAGCCTCTCCTCCCCAACTGCAGCCCTCTATTCTCCACCTGCTCATCTGGCCCTAAGCATCCACATACATGATATCCTTTCCCAACTTTCAAGCACCAGAAGGACCACTCCGCTTCTGAGAAAATCCATTCCGCCCTCCCCTGCCAATGATGACCTTCCTCCCTCCCTTGATAATCCCTGCAATGCTGACCTTTCACCTGGAACCACACTCGAAATCTACCCTGCAGTGAACTCCCAACCAATAATCTCTTAGCCTCTCAACCTCCACAGCTGTTTTGTAATTAGGAGCATCTTTGAGTGAGCTGGAGGGACATTCACTGCCACCATATGTCCATGCATATAAACACTTGTTCCTTTGACATGCAAACAGCTGGAGGGAGGCCTCCAAATCCACTGTCACTCTGACTTGTGGGCTTTTAGGACTATCAGCTGTCAGGAACCCAGGAGAGCCGGCTAGCAGGGTGGGCTAGCAGCAGCAGTGTGCAAATCAAGGGACTCATACAAAGCTACTGACCCAAAGCAGGTCCTGGGCCTGCTCTTATCACAGAAAGGTCACCCACTATGGGTTCCATTCTGAGTTTGTTTCTGACCAAGTTTGGCCAGTGGAGGAGCCTGCAGAAAAAACAAAGGATAGTGGTGGAGACGGGGGACACCAGTGGTTCTTCCAGATCCCTTTTCAGCAACTTCTCCAGAATGGCTGGGCGTCCTTCAGGCCCGGGTGCTCCTGGTTCCAACTTTCTCAGAGTGAGCCAATCTTTCCTGCCAACTCTCACCCTAGGGGAGGAACAGCTTCTTACCATTGCCATCTCTGGGGTGCCTGAATATCCCATGTGGCATCTCAGCTGTATTAGGAACCTGCACTAAATTCCCTGCTTGAAATAGCCCACATTTCTGGCTTCCATGGCTGGACCCTGAGAGATTCGGATCACAATGGAGGTGGGTGCTTGCCCGAGCAAACTGGCAGGAGAGACCCAAGTATGAATCTTATGCTTCTAAAATAATTCAGACCTACGTGACTCCAGCTTCCTGAGAACCCCACCAATAATCCTTTCCTACCAGTGTTTATCTAGAGCCTTTTATTCTTTTTCATCTGATTTAAGTTTCACTTCACGCAAGCAGCAAGCAGAATCAAGTCAGAAAACCCTGCGGGACATCTCAGACGCTTCCGTTTTTTCATTCCTCCTGCTTCCCACCTAGGGCTCCGTGTCCAGAAGGCTTCCTGGGTGAATGATGTCATCAATATGATTACACTGGCTTTAAACTACAGTCAACAAGGGGAAATGAGACTCTGTAATTGCAGGAACATATGCGGCGTCGGGTCCCTTTATCTACTTCCTTCATGATGACTCTTGGTTCTACACCGGTGAAGCAAGTTTTATTGACATCCTGCAAAATGACTGAGCGAGTCTATTAGCTGCGACCTTCTGTGCTGCTAATGGCTCTGTAACACTTTGGCTCAGGGGCTTAAAACAATCAGAATTCCTTGGCCTCAAATTCTTCTTCTACTCCTCCAAGAGGCATGGGGAGAGCTGTTATACTCTGCATCCGGCTGAGACCACAATGGCTTTTTCTCACACCAAGACCTGTCAGCGGTACAAAAACAAAACAAAAAACAACCAGCACTTCACAGAGAAGGTTCCCTGGCCTCGACAATGAATGTTTCCCTTCACTTCTAGTCCTCGGTCAGGCAGATGCTTGGGGCTAGGGGTGTAACTCGGTGGTCAGAAGTGCTTGGCATGCATAGACCCTAGGTTCAATCTCTAGAACCCCCTAAAGGCAGACTCTTTATAATATTTCATTCTGAAAATGAGTGATGAAATTATCTCCCCAGCCTTATTCACCCAGACACACACACACACACACACACACACACCCAAAACAGACCAGTTGTTCGATAAGAGATAAATACTTTAAATATTCCAGCCTCCCAGGAACAAAACTTGGCATTTAATCTGCCACAGCTGGCCCATGTACCAAATATAGCACCTGTAAATTCCCTCTCTGTAAACCCCATCTGAAAGGGAACAGAAAATAACAGATTCCCCCCTTCACCTGAGAAACATGTTTCTACTGCTCTCTAAATACAACTTTATTGAGTTGTTTTGGGGGGCTCAAAAGTACAAATAGAGACCCACAAATCACATTCCAAATAATCCAATGTCATGGGTCAAGCTAACAATTTGCTGCATACAATATGCTCAATCCTCTTACCCTGACACAATCAGTGACATCTATGGGCCAGGAAGGTCACAGTAGAGTGGGCATCCAGCCCACAACTCTGTCCCTTCTCAAGTCTTAATGTGCACGTGTAGACACCTCTGCAGGTGAAGTTTTGTGCACATGCACACATTGTCACTCAGCCACTCTGGGTGGGAGGGACACACCCCTGAAGCAGTTGGTCCTTGGGAAAGCACACCTGGCAGGGGTTGGCCCATGCAGGCCTTGGGACGAGCTCATATCATCTGGAGAGGGATACCCAGGAGTCTGAGAACTTGGAGCCTAGCCCCAGAAGAAACCACAGAGCCCACAGGCCCTGCCCAGTGAGGAGAGTCATCAGAGGACAAGTAGGGACCAGGGCAGGAGACACTTTTCTGAAATCTAGGGATGATAGTGAGATAAGCTGTTCTTTCATTATCTAGACTGTTCATTATCTGTCTCACCTGAGCACAGGGAGCTTGCCTTTCATCTTTGTAGGCCTAGTGACCTGACAGACATGAAATAATGAATGTTTCCCTTCACTTCTAGTCTTCTAGAATAGGGTACAGTTCAGGGCTAAGAGTGATGGTGTGGTTCGGCCCCAGCCTTTTGCAAGACAGTACTTGGTGATCCCAGCCCAGTCCTCTGGATGTGAGCCCTCAAGCCTCAGAGACCCTCCCACAGCTGCCACATCACCAGCCAGCACAGGTTCCACAAATAGAAAGGGTATCAGCAGCAACCATGTGCACAGCAGAATCCTTTTAGGATGATTTCTGAGAACATGTCCAGGTCACCCTAAACGTCATAAATCAAAACCTTTGTGTTGGAGACAGTGTGTATATGTTGGGAGTGTCTCCCTAGGTGATTCGGAGGCATTTGTGACTAACAGCAAGTCGTGGAGCCTTCTAATTATATGGAGGATGTTGCAAGCTAAATTGTGTCTCCCCAAAAAGAGGGTGATGTCCTAACCTCCAGTACCTGTATATGTGACCTGACTCAGAGAAAGGGTCTTTGCAACTGGTCAAGTTAGAATGAGGTAACTTAGCGAGGTCCCTAGTCTAGTATGACTGATGTTCTTACAAACAGGGAAATTTGAACCTGGGCACACAACACTTATTGTAGAGATGAGGTGAGGGCAGAGGTTGGCATGATGTATTTGCATGCCAAGAAATGCCCAAAGCTGCCAGTCAAACACACAAGAAAGTGAGAGGACGGAATTCACTCTCCCTCTGAGCCCTTGATTGCCTTGACCTGGGACCTCTAGCCTCCCAAACCAGGAGACAATAAATTTTTGTTTGTTTAGTCACCCAGATTGTGGTATTTTGATGCAAAAGCCCCAGGAAACCAATACAAAGGTAATAGGGTCAGAGCTTAGACCAAAACCCTCTCCCAACCTAGTGCCTCTCCACTCGGCCTTGCTCTCATTGCCCTGAGCCAACCAGTAACAGAAGGTGCTTCTCACTGGACTGCTGGTGACACTTACCACTGAGTTTTAAGCAGAATGAATGTCAGTGGTATTTTCTCCACCTTAGGGTAGAGGGGTGATTTTCTGTACAAACTCTCTTCAATGCCACACTTTCAAAGTTAGGGTTGCATTTGATTGTTAAATTTTTTTCTTACTTATCTCCAAGACCAGGGTTGATGTCGAAGCCAGGAATGGGTCCCCAGGAAGAAAATACTCTGGAGTCACAGGATGTGAACTCCCCAGTGTACCAGGAAAGGGCAAAGTCTTGACTTAACAAAGTCATCCTCTTTGAAAAGATTATCCAAAATGTCCCCACATAAACCTGTGGCACTTTCTTCCTCTGAACCAAAGCTGGCTGGTCGACAGATGACTGTCTAGCTGTAGCACCTACATGAAGGCCACCTGTGTCACCTCTACCTGTCCTGTTGCTTCTGAGAGCTGACCCCAAATCATCGTGAGTCTTGGGCTGGAGTACTGAACTTCTATGGGGGAGATCAGGTTCCCTCTCTGCTTCCTGCTCATTCCCTGATGATCCATTTGGGACCTGGTTCTTAGCAAAACTGCCCCAGTGATCAAACTGGATAAGTGCCAAAATACTCTTTTCCCAGCCAGATACTGTTACCAGGTAGGTTTTCTCTCCGGGATCCACTCAAACCTGCTCTCTGCTCAAAATCCTTCATCTGCTATTTAGTTTCGAATTTGTATACAGTATTACTTCCACCAGGGTGCACACATTGTAAGCTTCTGATTGTGCAATTAAAGTTTGTATCTGGCACATGAAACTTCAGGCATCAACAAGCAAATTGAGAACCACTAAGAGGGAATTAGAAAGGCCTAATTGAATCCCTCAACACCACTCAGGCAAGTAAAGTCAGACCATGGGGAATGGCCAGCCACGCAGCAAACTCCTGCCCCGGGAAGCTAAACCAATGGAAGAACCAATCAGAAAGGCAACACCAGTTAACTGCAGCTTCCGGGCAGGTAGCTGGCAAATTCCTACAAAGTTGGAAACGTGGAAAACAGTCCTGAAGGGCACCGACTTCTCACTGTAGGTGCCACTGTATATTAATAGCAGCAATCAGTCCAAATTACAAAACCAAGGGTTGCATGCCATATTGTATTGTTCCCTGGAAGAATTCATTCCGTTATGTAAATTTGGAAATGTTTTACCTTCATAAAGTGTTTTTCTGGTTCAGAGAACACATATATCCTTGTTTTGAAGGTATTTTTTCTTAGAAATAGTTTCTCTTCAAAATTAATTTGGAATACTTAAAGAATACTGCAGGTTGCTAAATCATTACTCTGCCCAGAATGCCCACTTTTATCTTGTCTGACCTCAGGTACTGCCTACAGCTCCTACTTCCAGAGGCCCAGGGCTGTCTTCCAAACTTTATTTTTGCTCCAAGAGTTTGCCCAGTTCTTTCGTGCCTTTGAAAAGAACAAGATGAAGGACAGGCACAGGGGCATCTAATCTGGGGTGATAAGGGTCCGTCAGTCCTCCCCCACCTCTTCCTGTCCTGTCCTGGCTCCAGCTGGCCAATGCTGCCACTTGGGGAAAGTGAACTGCGAGAGGCTGTCCAGATCCCAACAAGCCCTCAGCTGGCAGCACCCGACACTGCAGTCAGGCCTGGGCACTGGAGTGGAGTTCTTCTTCTCCGAGGGGATTTATTTATGGTCTTGTTTGCGGAGCTGGTGAAACGAAGCTGGGCACGCTGGCTCAGCGTCCTCCACTTTACCCTTTGGGACCCAGCCTTCCAGACCCTGTGGTTTCCCGTTTCTCAGCTCCCAGAAGACCAGGCAAAGTCAAGGTCCCTGGCTCATAACTACTCCTGTGGACTCTGCCTTCCCCTCAAACTACTTTGTCCTTCAGGGTCTGACCTCCCTTTTCCCCAGTCCCTGGCTATTTCCAGGCCTGACTCCACCTGCTCCTGTAAGCTTTGATCTCATTAAGGCAAAACAAGCAAAAGGCTCCAGGCTTCCAGTTCGCCCTACCACCCTCAGCCCAAGCGCTTTCTGCTTCTCGCTGGGGCTGGGCTAGGACTACGGGCTGTCCAGAACCGCGCGCGCCACCAAGAACCGGTCCCCAAGCTCCGCTCCCGGCAAGGCCACCTTAACTCGGAAAGTCAACCGTGAACTTGCTTCCGGGGGCTCCCGGCTTTTCGGCTCTGTTAAAGTCCACCAAGCAGCAGCAGCAGTTCCCGGCACGCGGAGACGCTGCCAAAAATCGCAAGGATCTGCGGTTGTTTTGCTCTGGCTTTCCACCCGGCTCCACCGTTTCCTTTTCCCCGGGAGTGCGCCTCCCTACCCCCATTCTAGGTCTATTGGCCACTTGATCTTTGCTCCTCTGTGGTCCAGTTTCAGTGTAAACTTCCCCTTGCCCATCCAACCGGACTGATTTAGAATTTTAGGCCCGAACCGGGCCCCTTTCTTCCTGTCCTTACAGACAGCCCAAGTCCTGGCAGGGCGCCGACTGGCCCTCCTCTTTCCCGGGGGAAAGGTGGGCAGCACCCAGCCTCCGACACAGAAAAGCAGCCACCCCTTCCACTACCTCCCCCGCGGCACCCAGAAAACAAATTCTCAGCCCCGGGTCAGGTTTCAAACGGACCCCACCTCGGATCGGCTCTTGAGGCTGCTCCGCTTAGGTCGGAGCAGGACATCCTTGAAGTCGAGCTTGAGGTCCGCATCTATGCGGGGCATGGTGCTGGCGCGGCAGGGCGGCCGGCTCCTTCCTGCGGCGGAGGTGGCGACAGTGCCACGGCCTGCGAGGGGCAAGGGCGGTGCGGGGCGCGTGCGTGGCACGGCCGCCAAGGGGCTGCTGTGCCGCGGCCCGGGCTCCCGCGGGCCCGCGCGCCAGCCGGCTCTTCAGTGCGCCCGCCCCGCGCCCCCGGCCGCGCTGGTTCGCCCCGCCCGGCGCCCGGTGGCCACGCCCCCGCACTCCTTGGCCGCGCACCAAGAGCCAAGAGCCGGTTGGAGAGGCCAGGGGGCCGCGGGCGTCTCCCAATCCGCTCGGCGTACAGTCCTGCTCATTGCTACCACCAAATTGTGCACCTGTGCACCATCTAGGCTATTACCGAGGATCCCCTTAGAGAGGGGACTTGGCGCATTACCGCCTTATCCAAGGGTAAAGGCCAATCCTTGAGAGGTTTGACTTCTCATTACTCCAGTTTCAAGTCCAGCGTGCACCAAGTGCTGGCCTCTCACATGCCAAAGAGGGAGAGACCCTTGGGAGGCTGGACGGAAATACAGGAAACCAGGCGGGGCCCGTGCGAGCCTAAGGCCCAGGGTTCCATCACTGTGGAGTGGGGTCAGATATCAGTTTAACAGCGCTGGGTGGTTTGGGCCATTTTTGGATACCCTTTAGATTTCAGAGGTTTTTGCTGATTTTTATTTAGAACAACAACAGCGAGGTCTATAGTCAGCGCAGATCCTGGGATTTGAGGGACCTGAATCCTCTCCAGGGTTACTAGTGACATTTTTTAATTTTTAAGAGAGAGAGAGAGAGAGAGAGAGAGAGAGAGAGAGAGTATATATATATATATATTTAGTTATCGGCGGACACAACATCTTTGTTTGTATGTGGTGCTGAGGATCGAACCCGGGCCACACGCATGCCACATCCCCAGCCCCATCAGAGTTCATTTTTAGTCACTTGTTGAGCTTCCTGAACCTCTGCTGCAGCTTGGAATGCGCTTAAGGACTTTTCCTGCACCTGCTCATCCACCCTCAAAACAGCCCATCCACGGGAGCTATTTTGCAGATAAGGAAAGTGAAGTTCATGCAAATGAAATACTTTGTCCAAAGCCCCCCAAAAGTTAAATATAAGTCCTCTCTGTCCTGGAAACTTACGTCAACCTTTTGCCACAGCTGTTTTTTAACCCTAGGGACCTCTTTTCTGTGTGAATGGAAAACCCGGTTCCACCACTTTCTAGCTGGGTAACCTTGGGGGAGTTAATTTCTCTGACTCATTGTCTCATAGGTTAAAGAAGAACTTAAAGCTACCCTCTCCCAGGTTTTTTGTGTGAATTAGATTGTGTGTGTGTGTGTGTGTGTGTGTGTGTGTGTGTGCAGAATGTACGTTCCATTGTAGTTGCTCAATAATAATGGTGATTATATTATTTGGGGTCACATGTTAACTTATGTGCATTGGGTTTTATAATCTCAGACTACATTGCTAACTGCACAAAGCCAGGAATCACTTTCATTTTCTTTCACTTCTCAAAAGGCTCTAACTGTTCTCAATGTACCCTGTGGCTGACCATAAAGACAGAGCACAATGTTCATTTTAACACAAATGACTGCCAGTGACAAAAGTCTTCAGCCATTCCACTTGGTGACATGATTATCTTTGCCTCACAGGAATTTTGAAAAGTTTCATGGAAGGAAGTGAAAGTTATCAGAGAGCGGGAAGATAACCACAATTAGTCCAGCCAACAAGTTATTTATGACCCACCCTTATCACATCGTTGAAAGCTGGCCAGATGTGACACTTACAAATAGTGGGGAATCTCAGTTCCTTAATTAAAGACTAAATAAAAGTCAAATATTACCATGTCATATAGTAATTACTATATGACATGGTAATTATTCTTCAAAAAGGGAAGAAAAGCCAAGCTTATTAAGCATCTGCTCAGAGTGAAGAAGGGCAGAGGTGGCGGAGGGCTTTATACTCAAGGGCACACACACACTGCCTTATGGGAAGAGCCTCCTTCGCTGGCCCTGGCCTCATACTCCAGGTAGTATCTCTTCTCTTGGTTTACTGCCCACCCCTCCTCTATTGGAAGAGACAGAAGTTCAGTTTACACATTCCATTCCCCCTCCTATTGAAATGTTCCAGCATAACTGTATCTTCAGACACAAAGTCATGTTCCTTGGTGAATCACTAGGAGTCCCTGATTCTCTCACACCAACAGAGTCTCTACTATCCTGTGATCTGTGCCCCAAAGGCCCATGTGTTGAAGGCTTGGCACTGATAGGAGCAGGTAGAGCCTAGTCGGAGGAAGTTGTATTATAGGGAGCATGTCCTTGGAGGGACTATTGGGACATTGGTCCCACCCCTTCCTCTTTGTTTCCTAACTACCATGAGGTGGGCATCTACTTCTGCCAGGTACTCCCCACTATGATGTACAACCTCCACCAGAAGCCCAAAGGCAATGGGGTCAAACAACCATCGACTGAAACCTCTGAGTCTGTCAACCAAAACAAACCTTTCCTCCTTATACATTGATTACCCCAGGTATTTTGTTACAGCGATGGGAAGCTGACTAACAGAATCCTTTAGGCAGCCTTTACACTGTGAACAGATTTCAGCTCCTCATATCACAAATAATAACAGTGATAATTTCTATCGAAACAATGATTTTACGAAGAAATTTTGACTAGACGAAGCCATAAGATATATCCAGAATCCAACCTGAGAACATTATCTTAACTAAGGGTAGGGTGATTCCAAAAATTACATGCGAAGATAACCTCTAAAATTATGTGGGATAAATTCCACATGGTGACTGTTCTTTTATATATTCATGGATTCAGTTTGCTAATATTTTGTTAAGGATCTTTACATCTAAACACATGGGGTACATGAGTCTGTAGTTTTTATGTCTTTAGCAGGATTATGATGGCCTCATAAAATGAATTTGGAGTGGGGCATGGTGGGGCACACCTGTAACACCAGCCACTCAGGGGCTGAGGTATGAGGGTCACAATATTGAGGCCAGCCTGAGCAACTTGGCAAGGTCCAAAAGACTTAGTGAGATCCTGTCTCAAATAAAAAGTAAAAAGGGGTGGGTGAAGGGTAAGTGAGAAATGAGAGATGGAGACCAGGCAGAGACACACACAGGTTTACCTGTCAGAGCTGACACATAAAGGCCGTCTCTCTATAGGAGAGAGAGGCAACACAGGCTTGAGTTCTGGAACTTTTATGGGACAGGCTCAGGAATCAGAGCCTGGCAGGTCCTAATGCGGGCGGTTAGGGGTTGGGTTGGTATGAGGGAGTGGTGAGCCTTTCTCAGAAAGGCCCTTGGGTGGGAAAGTGAAACTTTTTCCTTAAAATGGCAGCTGTCACTTAAGATGGCCATCCAGATGCTAAGCCCCACCTTATAGTGGGGATGTGACTCAGTGGTCAAGAGCACCTATGTTCAAACCCTTGTACTAAAAAAATATAAGAATTGGGAAAAGTTTCTTGATGCTTGGGATTCGTTCTTTAGGTATTTCATAGAATTAATCAGTGATCTATAATTATGAAGGATAAGAAAATTGTTTTTTGATAGACAAATATCTCAAAACCCTAAAATAATTATAATTGAATAGTAATTAAAATCCTTAAAATAATTCAAAATCACAGTATTTAGTATAATGGGAATAAGAAAGATTTTGCTCATATTTAATGTTTTGTGGTATTTTGCATTCTTGAGAAAATTTGTCCCATTAGATTAAGAAAACAATCTTCTAATACCAATTCAAAATGAACGTTTGGGTATACCTGTAATCCTATTAACAGGGGTTCACTTGAGGCTTTGACTATATTCCTTGTGGCTTTGAAACTTACATATTTTTTTTTCTTTTTCCCAATCTTCTTTTCCCTAAATTCCTCCCTGATCTTCTTTCCCTACACTTCTCCTCCCCGATCTTTTACTGATCTTCTCTTTTCTGATCTCTCCTCCCTAACCTCATTTCTCTGAATCACCCCTATAAACCCCCCCTGTTCCTGCTGATGGGCAGAATCACAGCCTTTGGGACAGGAGTCCCCTGTGTTTCTCCTTTGCTAACAAAGCAATAAACCTTTTTCTCAAGACTTTGTCTTTGTTATTGGATTCACCTCAAGGAACAAGCTTTGGATTATAATCCCAGCAGCTCTAGAGGCTGAGGCAGGAGGATCACAAGTTTAAGGTCAACCTCAGCAATTTAGCCTGGCCCTGTCTCAAAATAATTTTTTTTTTTAAAAAAAAAAAAGGTCAGGGGATATGGCTCAGTGATAAAGCACCCCTGGGTTCAATCTCCAGTGATAAAAAATGTTTGAGTAAGTGAGTTGAACATGAGGATAAGGTGAAATGTATTCAGGAACATTTTAAAGAGAACATAAATTTCACTTAAAGTATTTATAAAAGCAAATAAATTATGCTGGAAAGTTCCCCTAGCTGGTGAGTCTGCTGTTTTGTCATGCGTGATGATTGCTGGGAATCTGATGAAAATGCAAATACTGCTTCAGAGGTTCTGGGTGGGGCCCAAGGCTTTTCATTTCTGGCAAGTGTCTGGACGAAGCTGGTTCTGGGGACTGGCACTGAGTAACAGGGAGTTAGACTATTAGCATATTTCAAAAGGAAATCTTGTTCCTTGTATTTTTTTAATGCAGCTTAAAATACTTGAAAGTATTTAAGTTTGTAAATGTGACCTTGCATTATCCAAAAGCCTTTTCAAGGCATTTGCTATAATTTACTAAATAGAATTTTTAAGTAAAGAAAATGTCTAAGCGAATAAACAAGTTTTTTTTAAAAAAACTTTTAAATTTGTTATATATGAAAGCAGAATGCATTACAATCCATATTCACATATAGAGCACAATTTTCATATCTCTGGTTGTACACAAACTAGAGTCACACCATTTGTGTCTTCATACATGTACTTAGGGTAATGATGTCCATCTCATTCTACCGTCTTTTCTACCCTCATGCCCCCTCCCATCTTCTCCCTCCCCTTTGCCATATCTAGGGTTCATCTAATCCTTCCATGCCCCACCACCACCACATTATGAATCAGCATCCTTAAGTCAGAGAAAACATTTGGCATTTGTTTTTTGTTGTTGTTGTTTTTTTGGG